CAAGGCATTTTGAGCAGACGCGAAGGACGTGGTTTCATTATGTTAGAAATTAGTCAGAAGACACCTCAGTGTGACTCCGGGTTTCTTACTGTGAGGAAAAACCCATTTGGAGAAATCTGAAAAATCCTTGGGCTCTTAACATTTCTTGGGCACCTGCCGAGTGCTAGGGATAGAGACCACTGACACCCATCTCCGGCCTTCAAGGAGTGCTCCTTTTGGTGGGGGGAACACCATGGTCACCAATGACAAGAAGGGGCACAGGTGCAGGGGGATAGTGAGGAGGCAGCCCCTCACTGTCCAAGGAGTTCAGGAGAGCTTCAGACAGGAGGGTGTCAGAGCGAGAGGAGGGGAAGTTGGAAGAGGAGTTGGACAAGGGCAGTCAGCTTAGTCTGAGAGGAGTCAGGGAGACCTTTCCCCAAGAACTGGTCTCGGAGATGACTTGCTGGGAACACCTTTGCAAAGTGGCCCAACTGCCTCCACCCAAAGCTCAGTTCAGAGTGTACAACATAGCCCACGGTGTACAGTTTGTCTCAGTGCCAGGGGCCAGTTCATAGTCGAGTCCTCTTGTTGAACCAAGCCGCTGCATTTGAAGTTAAATGATTTCTGGGGTCCATGGAGTTGGGGTAACCCACCCAGGCCACTTACCCTTAGATGTCCTTTTGAACCTTGAGCCTTGAAGAAACTGGTCTAAAAGTTACCTTCAAATCAAATGACAGTCTTTGACTATCGTTTTTCTTAGGCATTGTGCTCTTTTGAAGAATTCGGTCAGTTCCGCAAAACCGAAACTCCAGGGCCTGACTGGAAGCTGTGTTTTAGGGTAAATTGTTATTATAAAAACATTGTTCTGGCCCTGTTTCCATGGCAATGTTGATGGGGTGAGGTGTAAGAGTCTTTGGTTAAGTTTTCTCAACTTCAGAACGCGAGTCTGACTTCCAGACCAGACGTTCCCCGGTTCATGAACTGAAAGATAAAGCTAATGAGTTCATATACAAATTTAATACTGTGGAAATTTTATTTTTAACAAAGTGAAAATGACGAAAACTGGCGGGACTCCATCCTGACTCATTTTCAATGACCTGACAAGCCTCACTGGGCCAGACACTTTCTTTTCCACGACTAGGGCAACCAGAAGTTCTATCTTCTACCTATTGTCCCAGAATTATTACTGAAAATGTCTTTACTCTCACTAAACATCTTCTGGTTTGGAAAAATACATGTTTATATACATAGATATAACCACCCTATCCATTACCCCATTAAAGCTTCATAGTAATCTTCAAACAACTCCATAGCGACACTATAGGGCAGAGTAAAACTGCCTCATGGAGTTTCCAAGGAGCACCTGGTGGATTCGAACTGCTGAGCTTTTGGTTAGCAGCCAAACTCTTAACCACTGCGCCACCAGGGTTTCCTCAAATGACTCGAGTCAGCTGCAATCTGTTTGCCATCCTTAAAAATGCTCCATCACACCTCTGTGCCTTCACCCTTTTGTTGGGATGGCCCCACCCCACCCACATCCTCTAAAAACTTGCTCAAATGAATGTCACCAGCAATGAAGCCTTCTCTAGTCCTCACTCCCATCTGTTCCTCTGCAACCCTCCGTCCGTTTTTCTGAGCTCCCAAGCCTCCATCTAAGTACTTCACACATGTAAGGAAAAATACACATTGAAAATGATTCTCCTTATGGAGAATAACGAGTTGATTCCGACTCATTGCAACGGAGCTCTGGTGGTATAGTGGTTAAAAGCTATGGCTGCTAACCAAAAGGTCGGCAGTTTGAATCCACCAGCTGCTCCTGTGGGAGAAAGATGCAGCAGTCTGCTTCCATGAAGATTACAGCCTTAGAAACGCTATGGGGGCAGTTCTACCCTGTCCTGTACGGTCACTATGAGTTACAATCAAGTTGATGGCAACAGGCTTATATAAGTAAAGAGTAAGATTTTCTTCTGTCTTTATGATCTCTCTCTTCAGTGGATTACCGGCAATGCATTACATTCTGGTTGAATGCTTGCTTATTCAATAATAAAACTTTTCTTTCTCTTCTATTTTTGTGGAGAGGTTTTCTGGGTTGGGAGTAGATTTCGTTTTTTGTAACCTCCACCCCCCACCCCCCAGCATCATTCCGCAACAATCTGTTTTCCTGTCTCCTCACAGGTCTGTGAGTTCCTCGAGGGCATGGGCTGTGTTTTGTTAATCTCCAAGTCCATCAAACGCAGCCCATGCTCTGGCTTGTAGAGGCACTTGATAAATAATGTTGGTTAAATTAATGAACAGCCATCAATCAATGATTCTTCCACCAAGGCCCAAGGAGTATACTAGAACTATCAGCTCCTTTCCTCTTGCTGGTCCCCGCCATCCTACAGATCTGTCAGAACGGAGAGGAGCACTGGGGTAATTATGTTGCTCAGAAATGGGCAGGAGGCATGGAGCTGTGTCCTAAACCTTGGCAGGCCCTGTCACTAACCAGCTGGGAGGCCCTGGGCCTCTGAGTCCCCAAGATCCACAAAACCAGAAGTTGCTTTGGTCAAATGGTCTCAATGGAGCCTTACAGCTCCAACATTTTGTGACTCCAAAGTCTGTAACTTTTATCCTTCCTCAAAATAAAAACCAGGCCCTAGCAATATCACAAGCCTCAAAAACATTTTGACCCAGCAATTCCAATCAAGTACAAAGATTTATGTACAAGGATGTTCAAAGCAACATCATATGTAATACAAGAAAAAGTGTAAACAACCAAATTATGATATATCCATATGCTCGAATACCATCTACCATTAAAAATCGTGTTTTTGTAGAATATTTAAGGAGAAAATAGTCACACAAGTGATTAAAAAAGGAGATCACAGAACAATAGCAGCTCAATTTTACCAAAAAGAAAAAAAAGTCAAACCATACATATTTGCACACATATAGGGAAATGTGGAAAGAAAATTCACCAAAATATCAACAGTGGTTTTCTCTGGGGTAGTGGGGATCAGATGACTTTATTTTTTAAAGTTTTCTGCATTCTTCACATATTCTTCTACAACAAACATTTTATAGTCAAGAGAAAAACAAATGCTGTTGAAAGAAAAAGCTAATCCTCCATCTTATGAGGCCAACAGTAGACGGTAGAGGAAAACGCTAGAAATTGTGAATATAAAGGTTTCATCAGATCCTTTCCGCCTGGAAGCCGGTGGCCGTACCTTTGGTGGGTGTCTTACTCAAACCAGAAGGCAGGGCAAGGGCAGAAGAATGGAGCCAGGACAGCCCTCACTGCGCTCAGGAGGCAGGAAAGCAGGCCCATCTTGTGGAGAAGCCCCTGGCAGACTTGACCCCTATCTGAGACTGATCTAAAGGCTCACCATCACCCATCTCTAACCCTCCCCCGCCTCTTTCCTCAGAATGCAAAGACAATTTCTAGATTTGTCTAGGGTCTGAGAACTCAATCCAATTCCACCCATACTTCCTAAGTGTGCCAGGCCCTGTGTGTGATACTGCAGACAAGAGGAATTTTATCTGAGATATTTTTAACCTCCCTCCCATGGGAGAAGTCTTTGGCTAGTGAAAACGGTCTAACCAAAAGGTTGGTGGTTTGAATACACACAGAAGTGCCTTGAAAGAAAGGCCTGGCAATCTACTTCCTTAAAGTCACAGACACTGATAACCCCATGGAACCACAGTTCTACTCTTAAGCACATGGGGTCACTATGAGTCAGAAATGACAACGGCAACTGTTCCCCAACCCCTGCCCCATGGGAGAAAACCCCTCTGCAGGTCCTCAGCCCCTGCTTGCATACCTCCAAGGACTGGGGTGCTCACTACACCCACACAGCTGGGACCATGCCCATCAGTCAAGAAGAAAAAACCTCCGTCCCACTCCACCTTACTCCCCACAGCCTTTCCTGTTCTATCCCATGTTCCGCCTGGTTCTGTCCAAGGGTGGGGCCCACAGGCTGACAAATTCCATTCCCTCACCCCTCCACCTCCAGGCATACAAGAAGCCCTTTCATGATCTCAGGCACAGACAGTATACCTGGCCTTCCCTAGCAGACAGGTGAGGTGGTATTTATAGCCCAGGAATAACTGGATGTTAATTCCTTTCTACAGAAAAGCGGTTGGAGTTTCAATTCCCTCCATTCTGAACTCTGAAGTGGGGCTAGCTGTGCACACACACACTCACACCTCAAACCCGACCCAGGTCCCTACCCCTGCCAAAGTCATTCTTACAAAGGCCCCATCAACCTGCAACTCCCTTCCTCCTCAGCTCTACCAACAAGACAGTGCCCACCCTTCCCCTTCCCTTTATGCAAAATCCCCACCCTCTTTTTAAGGTGAGCTAAACTCCTCCTGCCAGGTGATGTATTCCAGATTATAATCTCTCCTAGTCCTGCCTGTCCAGGGTCATTGTGACACTTAAAGCAGGAGGAGCTGCTATTCTGGAGACAAGTGCTGTTTCCACCCATGAATGGCAGGGCAAGGTCCCAGCTCTCGGACACCAAAGAGCCTCCGAGTCCCATCCCTCACGTAGCTATGCTCTTTCTCCCTCCCCTCCCTTTTCCAGCCTCTATTCTCAGGTAGTCTACCAAGGGACCTCCGCCTCCCTGCTCTTAACTCCCTGCCATCCTCAACTGAGACCTGAGTCTACTGAGGGACAATTCTTGGCTGGGTATTTTGGGAAGGGGTTCACTCCCTGGGAGGTCGAGGCTTCAGAGCCCACACTTACCACCTTGAGGAGCAGGGGTAGTGGACACACAGGGGCTTTGGGGGTCAGGCAGGCCTGGACTCCACAACTACCTCCACCACCAGGCTGAGTATGAGAAATGGGGTTCTTGTTTCTTCACATGGCTTCAAGGAGATGTTGTCTAAAAGAGGCTGGGATGTAGCAAGAACTCTGTACAAGTTAGTCCTCCTCTGATACGGTCTCTCAGGATCCCCACCCTGGGGCCCTCATTGCCCCCACCCTCCCACCAGGATGGTCCCCTCACCTGGATGCTGGCCTGAAAGAGGCTGAGTGAAAAGAAGCGCCTTAACCAGTGTTTATATAACAACAACATAAGCATTTTATTTTTTCATTAAGCTTCTTACTTTCTTAGTATCACAATGGAATGATGAGAAAACAAGAACAACAAAAACATGAGTCTTTGCAAGTCTCTGACAGAGAGCAGAGACTTCAAGGCAACTGGGGGAAGGTGGGGGCTTGACAGAAATACCAAAATAGTTCCGACATCATGTCTCTACTTGGCCAGCTGGGCCGGGGAGGGGTGGGGAGGTGGAATGGTGAGAAGGTGCCACTGTCATTAAGCTGTCCTTGGCAGTTGTCTCTCATGACTGATACCCACGTGTTCCGCACGGACCACCCCATGGGATTTCCCGGCACCTTCCTGGTGTCCGGCCACATGACCCTCCACCTGCTCCCAACACCCTGGAACTGGAACTCCAACCAGGGCTAAGCTACACCCTGAAGCCAGTTCTGCTGGGTGGGAGGCAGGAGAGGAGAATGGAGGAGGGGCGGGGGGCAGGCAATGCTGCTCAGTTTGTGAGAATCCAAAGAGTGGCCGAGACTTGTCTGGGAGACATCTGTGGTGGAAGGTGGAGGTGGTGCAGGTGGCAGCGGCAGAAGGTGGTGTCCCTTAGGAGGTAAGCAGGCCGAGCAGGCGTGCAGGCGTGCAGGGCCGAGCCTAGAGCTTCACAGTGCCAGGGGGCAGGCTGTCGTTGCAGAGTCTGTAGTAGCGCAGGTCATTGACCAGCCTGTGCACATTCTGGGTGAACGAGGGCAGGTCCTGGAAGGCAGGGGCACAGCTGCAGCCCGGCCCCACTGCAGGCCCTCCTGCCCACCCCCCAAGCCTGAATCGTCCACCCACCCCACCTGACCCCAACAGCTGTTTCCATCCCAGAGTGTACTTTGCAGATATGATAACGTTTTACAAAACTCAAAATTTCTACTCATTCTTGCACTTCGTGTCAGCAAAGGCTCTGTGCAAGAAAAGAGTAACAGCTAACAAATACTTCCATAGCGCTTACCATGTGCCAGGCACAGTTCCAAGCAGTTTACAGATATTAGCTCATTTAATGCTCACTATTATCACTATCTTAAGGATGAAGAGACTAGGAAACTTGTCCCGGGTTACACAGATAGGAAGGGAAGGGGGTCCAGATTTGAATCAGCAAGCTTGCTCCTGAGCCCAGGCTCTTGAACAGTGGTATGTCTGCTGGCACACCCCTCTCCTTCACCATGGCCAACCGAGGGGACAGCACTTATACTCAGTAATGCCAGCCAAATCCTTCCCCACAGAGGGCTCCAGGCAGCCCCTACCAATCAAGAGCAACCTGCAAACAATAGCTCTCATGCCGCGTACACCTATCCTGCTAGGGAGCAGCATGGAAGCACGGAAAACACCCAAACTGTGGAGCGAGAAAGACCCTCTCAGTTTAAACCTGAACTCCACCACCTGCTTTTGACTGGGATTATCAAATGCCTACTGGGTAGGCCCAAATGAGGAGTAAAATGAATAGTGTCTACAAAGCCCTGTCAGTGAGCTAGATCACTGTCCTGCCTGGGAGTGCCAAGATACTCCTTTCTTAAACCCATGAGCAGGGAGAGGGGAGCCAGAGGGGAGCCCCAGGTGGCACGACTGGGCTCCGAAAAGAGCTGAAGACACTTGCAGCTTTTCTCTACTGTACCCACCATCCCCACCCCCAACGCCCTACCTGACTAACCTCTGCTGCTCTTTCAGAATTCAGTTCCAAGGTCCCTCAGACACCTCCCAATTCCTGGCCCCAGCTGGCTAGGTCAGCGTCTCTGCGCCAAGCTCTCAGAGCGCCCTTGACTCACCCTGTTCTTGGAGAGTATGTGCAGAGGCTCTAGAGCCAGAACACCCAGGTCTGAATTCTGCTTCATGGCTCTGCCACTTCCAATTCTGTAACTGCCAACTAACTGCTGACCTTTCTGTGCCTGGGTTCATCCGTGAAATGAGGTTAACAATAGTACCACCCTTCAGAAGGCTTAAACTAGCCGGACATGTAAAGTGCTTGGCACAGTGTGGCCTGCAGAGAGCACTGTATTACCTATTACCCGTCTTCCCCACAAGACTCTCTGAAGACAGACTGGTGTCTCAGCACCTGGCACAGGGCCTGAGACGCAGCAGGCTTCAAATACACAGTAAATGGATGAATGGAAGCCATGATTTCTTTACTTAGTTCACCCTCAAGAAAACAAACCAAGGAATGAATGTCTTTTAAATCAGTGGCTCTCAAACATCAAATCAGAATTTCCTGGGGTAGGTGGAACACCGGAGTCCGTTTCTGTATTTTTAATAAGCACCCCAGCTGGTTCGGATGCGTAACTAGATTTGGAAACTACTGCTTTAAATCAGGAAACCCTGGTGGTACAGTGGTTAAGAGCTACGGCTGTAACTGTGTAACTATGGGGCAGTTCTACTCTGTCCTTTAAGGTCGCTGTGAGTTGGAATCGACTTGACGGCAACGGGTTTAACAGGTGGTGCAGTGGTTAAGAGCTCGGCTGCTAACCAAAAGGTCAGAAGTTTAAATCCACCAGCTGCTCCTTGGAAACCCTATGGGGCAGCTCTCCTCTAAAATCCTATAAGGCAGCTGTGAGACAGAATCGATAGGAAGGGGTTTGGTTTTGCTTTAGGCTTTCAATCAAGAAACTGACAGATGATGACATAATTAGACAGATCAGTTCATACTGGAATTTGGCCTCTAGGAAAAGGGAGAAAAAACATCAAAGTGGCTGAAGTGAAGTTCAGGAAGCTTAGGCGAAAACAAGACCTATCTCAGGGAAAGAAAAGCAAAGGAGAACACGAATTTAGTCAAAGAAAAAACTAACCAGCCACATATCACACACTGGAGACGCAAGGAGCAAGGGCACCATATGAATACTGAACCCCGAACGCTGAAATCTGGGACCGTGGACAAACTATTCAAGTACAGAGATCCAGCAAGTAACAACAGGAGTCAAGTCAGGAACACCAAAAAGAAGGTGGTAGAAAGATAAGATTTAATTTAGTCAAGTGTCAGAAGGTAGAAGAGGAAAGCTACTTATTCCACAGGAAAAGTTCCAAGAGGGGCCTATCACCAAGCAGAGAGGCTTCTATGATGGACATATGAAACAGGAGGAAGGCAGGTAAGCTCCTAGGAAGGGGGCCCCAGGGCAGGAGAAGCCAGGCACCCCAGGCTCAAATGCAGCAACAATGGCTTCATGTACATCCAGAGCCATCCCTACTCCAGCTCCCACACAAGATGCTGCATAAGCTGAACAGCCCACCTGACCTCCATGAGGTGGGCAGCATGGAGGCAAGAGGGCGAGCACCATGAGGGTCATCCAGCCCACTTAGTTAACACTGGAGGAGCGCTCGGCTAGTCTGGGGAGAGCCCAGGGCCTGGCAGCAGGAGTGTGGGCTGAGCCGGGGGCCATCTGGGGGAGAGCTCAGGATAGCCCGTGGAGCCTGGGCCCCATCTCTAACCCTGGGGACCCAGAAATGCAGCTACCAAACACCTATCTTCTCAGCCTGCCAGTAAGTCTGCAAGTTTAGGTGAAGAGTGACAAGTGTGACTTCAACTACACTTCCGTGCTGCCCCTGTGGTGGCTCATCACCCACGAGAAAATAGTAACAGCAGGACCCTAGTCAGGGGTGTGCTCTTGACAGGGTGGAATAAGTACAAAGAGGCTGAACCTGAGATTCTCCCTCCTCTGAGACAAATCAGAGAGATTGCTAGGGCCAGGAACTGGCTGACGGGCTCATCCCCAGGGGCTGAGACTGTGAACACACGTGCTACAGAATGCAAGACTGGGAAGAGCAGGGGCTCCTCAAGCCAGCCACAGCATCCACCACTGAGTCATCCAGGCACTGCATGAGCTACTGCCAGCCCACAGGGTAGGGAAAACCACCCATGGAGGCCCTCACAGCCCCCCGAGACAGCCTACCCCACCTTAGTGAAGAGGCGCCAGGCCCGAGAGCCCACACACACTGGCCTCCCTTTAGGCTGGCCTCTTTCTCTTCTCACCCGATCCATCTTGAAATTCCGTCCCAGCACATTTTTCTGGTTGGCATCCACACCATCACAGCTGGTCAGGAACTCTGGGAGGAAGGCTGCAAAGAAGCCATCAAAGTCGACCGAAGCCATGTTGTAAATGGCAATGCCGATCTCCTCCTGCAGAAGGTCGTGGGACTTGTGGACTAGGACTTGCAGCAGCACATTCACAAACTGGAACAGCATGGTGGTCCGGAAAATCTTCTGCAGAGACCAAGGTGAGTGATGGCTGTGTGGTCCTATCCAGGACCTCTGAGGCCTGTCATAGGTCCCAGCCTGCCCCCCATCATGCTCCCCAGCTACAGACCTCAGAAGGGTGGGCTCAGCCTGAGCCCATGCTGACTCTGATGAAGGAGCCTTTCCAAGAAAGATGAGGCTCTTACCTTGTGGTATAGCTTCTGCTTGGTGTTGAGAGTCTCCAAGTAGAACAGATTTTGTTTAAACAGGTGGATGTCAGGCTGGAGAAAGGACTGTCCAAAAGCCTAGGAAATAAGACCACCATTTTAGAAACAGCATTTAAATATCCTTAGACCAAGCCGTTCTAGGGGCTCTACCCTATATCAAAAGCACCGATGCTCCTTTAGCATCCCTGTGCCATTGGTTGGGGTGAGGGTGCCTGCTCCCTCAATTCTTCTGGTCTGTCTGGTCAGATCTTCAGAGTGTTCCTCTTTTGTCTTAGCCCCTTCATCTTGCCCACAGAGCCTCACCTCTTATTCTGGTCTAATCCTGCCCCTTTTGTGACAAAGCTCAAGACCATTTATGGGACCTATCTTTGAAGTAAGAAGCTAACAACTCTAGTTAAATACCTCAGCAATCTTAGGAGATACCAATGTCCACCTGCCTCCCCTCGAGCCAACCAATCCCACTCCATAAATCACTCCTCTCCTTGGCATCCCAGGTCTTATAAGCCACAAATCCTTAGAAGCTCCTTCAAAACCGGCTGTCTCTACCTTGGGGTTAAGCAACAGCAAATTTTTAAACTGCTTTGCAATTTCCAGGTTGTGAAAGTTACTAGTTCAGAGACAAAAAGGCACACACCCCGACACCTCCAAACACAAACAGTTCTGCTCCAATAGTTAGCGACTGTGGAAGTGAGGTAAATGAAATGCAAGCCCAGTGGTCCTCAGGAAACCTTCCTAGAATGAGCTGGTGACCACTTTGTCATTCCGTCCCTGGGCATCTAAGCTGTGAGAATGGAATCTTGTAATTCCTGCTGCAATAATGGTATCCCCAAAACGACTGCTGTTTTTCATTTATTTTTTTTAAAGTCCCGTTTACTGAAGCATAATATACAGTAAAATTCACCCTTTTTAGACTTATCATCGCATGAATTTTGACAAACAATAGTCGTGTAACCACCATCACAATCAAGACAGAACATTTCCATCTCCTCGAAAAGCCCCCTTGCGCCCCTTTGTTTTCAATCCTCTTCCCTTACCCCCAGGCAACCAATGGTCTGTTCTCTGTCCCTATAGTTTTGCCATTTCCAGAATGGCATATAAATGGAATCATATATAGTATGTGGCCTTTTGGATATGCCTTCTTTCTCGAAGCATAATGTATTTGAAAGTCATCCATGTTCTTGTCTGCATCAGTAATATGTTTGTTTATATTGTTGAGTGGTACCCACTGTATGCATGTACCTGCATGATGGCACTGAATTGGGGCTCATTCTCCATCTGTTCCTCGGCAATCCCCCTCTGGACACTGGCCAGGACAGTGGACTTGAAGAAGTACCTCCAGTTGTGATGGAGCGTCCGGAAAAGGAGCTCAAACAGCTCAGCCTTCACATCAGGGGAGGGACGCTGTGGAGAGACACAGACTCTCAAAACCTTCCCTTCTTGCTGCTTAGGGAGCCACTCAGCCTAGGCCCAGTAACGAATGAGCCTAAGAGACGCCTAGAAACAGCCAAATATCAGCACTCCACCCGCACTCCTATCATTTCCTATAGTGAACTATCAAGCCACCTCAAGTCAGCTCAAACCAGGAATGCTTTGGCAGAGACAGGGCCCAAATCTGAGACAGACTGCATGGGTCAGGGCCAAGGGACCCTTTTTCTGATGAAGCACTCAGCTCTGTAAGCTAGAATAAAAGGCTTATAAGTGGAAGAACAATTCGGAATATGGACTTTCTGTTTGTAAGGCAGCCAATGTGACCTGTCATCTTGGTTGTGTTGTTCCTTTTTCCAGGATAAAAAATGCTGTCCCCGGTAGCTTTGTCTCATCAAGCTTGAGGCTAAAGACAAATAAGACGCAGATCTGTATGCCTTACAAGTAGTTCTGCCCTCTACAGAAAAGGAGAGTCTACGTTTAAAGAGCGCTTAGAAACCACAGAGAATGATGTTAAAGAGGACTGCTTGGTGGAGGCAGAGTGCAGCACTAATTGCTCTCTGGCCTGTCTCCTCTTTTACTGACAGCTAGGATTCTGGGAGGAGTAGGAGAGAAGCGGGAGGCAGGGCTCAGCAATATTTTTTAACTTAACCAAAAATCTCCAAATCACTGGAAAGCATGACAGGTCCCATTATTTCTGGTGTCTCTATAGAATTAAAAATTATAAGACCCAGATATCTTTAATTCAACCTTGATTAAAATTAAATTGAAACCAGCGGTCATAAGCTTCGGTCTAAGCGTGTTTAACAATGCAAAGAGACTTACTGAGTTTGGACAGATCTTGTCATGCTGAGTGTCTGTCTGTTTCCTAAGGGCAAAGAACTTTCCTATAACACTGGGAAGGTTTGTTTGAATGGTTCTAAGAACTTGCTTTGTATCCTTGTGACTATGAAGGTTTTTAAGGAGCCCTGGTGGTACAACGGTTAAGTGCATGGCTGCTAACTGAAGGGTTGGCGATTTGAACTCACCAGCCGCTCCATGGAAAAAAGACCAGGCGATCTGCTTCAGTAAAGATTACAGCCAAGGAAACCCTATGGGGCAGATCTACTCTGTCACATGGGGTCGCTATGAGCAGGAATCAATTTGACAGCACCAAACAACAACAATAAAGCTTTTAAATAGGAAAGTACATTTTTTATAATGTTTGCTGTAGAAAATCATAGAATCACTTAAAGTTATAAACTGTTTGCCACAGGAGACTGAGTTTACTCACCAACCTACCTTGTGATGATTAACCTACTATCCTTGCACTAAACTAGTTCTATTAACTTGACTGATATAAAAAGACTGTACAGAGATAAAGCCATTCTTTTTTCTTCTTTAAAGCTATTTTTTTCTTTCTAAATTTTTGTTGTTGTTGAAAATATACACAGCAAAACATGTACCAATTCAACAGTTTCTACATGTACAATTTAGTGACACTGATTACATTCTTTTGAGTTGTGCAAACATTCTCAGCCTCCTTTTCTGAGTTGTTCCTCCCCATTAACATAAACTCACTGCCTCTTAAGGTTCCTATCTAATCTTTCAAGTTGCTATTGTCAATTTGATCCCATATAGACGTTTAAAAGAGCATAATGCTCAAGGCAGACCTTTTTTACTACTTAAGCTAAACTACTGTTTAGTTTTAAGAAGACTTCAGGGAATATTTTTGGTTTAAGGTTCAAAGATTATCTCAGGGAAGTAGTTTCAACAGTTCATTTACCCTCCAAGGCTCCAGAAAGTCTGGAGCCCATGAGAATCTGAAATTTCCCCTTTTGATCAGGATTCTTCTATGGAATCTTTGATGAAAATGTTCAGTAATGGTAGCTGGGTACCATCTAGTTGTTCTGATCTCATGGCAAAGGACGCAGTTGTTCATAGAGGCAATTAGCCACACGTTCCATATCTTCCTCCTATTCCTGACTCTCCTTCTTCCTGTTGCTTCAGGCAAACAGAGACCAATTGTTGGGCCTTGGATGGCCACTTGCAAGCTTTGAAGACCCCAGGCACTACTCTACAAACTAGGAGGTATTAGGCCAAATAACTGGAATGTTCCATGAAACCGTGTTCCTAAACCTCCAAACCAAGGAACCTAATCCCATGAGGTGTTTGGTTATACATAAGCAGCCTCAGCAGCTACTCTTTTTTGTTGCTGTTGTTGTAAATATATCATACAACTTTTGTCAATTCAAACTTTTTACAGGTGTGCAACTTATTGACAATTACAATATTGGCTGTGCAACCCTACCCTTAATCAATGTGATTTTTCCATCACCGTTAACCCTCCCTTTCCCGCTCCCTCTCACCCCTGGCAACCACTAATAAACTCTGGTCTCTGTACATTTGCCTTTTCTTGTCTTTTTATATAAGTGAGGTCATACAGTACTTGTCCTTTTGTGATTAACTTATTTCACTCAGCATGATGTCTTCAAGCTCAAGCTCCATCCATATTGTAGTATGTATCAAGACTTCATTTCTCCTACTGGCTGAGTAGTATTCTATTGTATGTATGTACCACATTTTGTTATCCATTCATCTGTAGTTGGGCATTTAGGTTGTTTCCACCTTTGGGCTACTGTAAATAGTGCTGCAATGAACACTGGTGTACATGTCTCTGTTTGAGTCTCTGCTTCCAAGTCTTTTGGGTATATAGCTAGAGTTGAATTGCTGGGTCATGTGGTAGTTCTATTTTTAGTTTTTTTGAGGAACCACCACACTGTTTTCCACAACGGCTGTACCATTTTGCATTCCCACTAGCAATGGATAAGGGTTCCAATTTCCCCACATCCTTGCTAACATGTTATTTTCTGGTTTTTTTTTTGTTTTTTTTTTAAAGTCTTAGCCATCCTAGTGGGAGTGAAATGGGCGTCCTTCTTTTACAAAATTATTTTAGAAGATTAAAATGACTAACAAATTAATTTTAAAACACCATGCATTTTCCTGGATATTTCTCTCCCTCCCCAATCATGGAATGGGAGGCAATGCAGGGGACCACCTTAGCCCCTCCTACCTCAGCAATGATGGGATACACCTGCTCCATGCACAGGGAGATGATGCTGGGAAGGAATGGCTTGAACACCTGGCCAGGCTCCTGGACCACCACCTGCAGGATCTTCAGAAACTTCTCGACCACTCGACAGCCTGTGCTGCCTTCGTGGAGGATGCTCTCAGCCAACTGTTCTCTACAGACAAGAGAAAATCACTTAATAACCAAGGAAATACTTCTTCAGGGGCAAGCATGAAAACCAATGCTGTGGTAAGTGAAGAAGAGGAGCAAACAACCCCATGGGGTTGTAGCCAGGTCCATTACTTCTCACCTGAGTCTGAGAACTATAGCCAGTAGGTCTGTGGTTACCTGGTAAACATATTGAGGAAAGTCTGTATAATCTGTTCAGTGAAAGGCACACCCATCTGTACTCTAAGGCCTCGAAACAGAGTGAGGAAGAAGCTCAGCATCTCATCAGTCACATCTAAATAAAGGGACAAAGCAAATGATCAAAGGTATGCACACAGATAAACAGGACCCCTTGGCTTGATCAACTTTCTTTTGCAATCTGCAGTATCATCTCCCTCTAAGGCTTCTTGCTGGGAGAAATTTCCCCAACGCCATCAGAACCAATGATGGAAACTGAAAAATACTAAGGACATGCTGCGAAAATTGCTCTGGTACAATGAACCTCTGCCTGATGGCTCGCTACAGGAAATGAAGGTCATCTGGAAGCCTCCCTCACTGCCCAACATCCAGAGACGTTCAGAGTTTTCATTGCAGATGGATCATTTTGTGCTCGCACTGATGAAACCATTCAACTGGGTCACCACCTGAGTGCCTTAGTCATTTCTCTCTGTGACCAGTAATCCCTGCAGTTGGGTCAGAGGTTAAGTGGCTAAAAGTGGATAATGAGGGTGTATTCAGGCTGCATGCCCTGGTCCATTAAATGGATTAATTGAAGAAAATACTGGTTACATTTAGCATGGTTCCACTTCCAGACGCAGGCAATCATCCTGCATAGCATGTTTTAGCTCTAACCACGCACATTCTGCTTGCAAGAGGCAATCAAATCAGTGAATAGCTGCCGACTGAGAAGTCCCTGCCATTCCTCTCACAGGACTGACAAGCCTACTGTGAATGCTCTCATGAGAGCCAGGCAGGTGCATCCACAGAGCTGGTAGGCTCCACCAGTGACAGGGATGGGGCGGGGTGACAGAACAAGCTCAGCAAAACTCACCCTGTCACATAAGTAAATAAGGAGTACTTGTCTGAAAAAGTTGTCGTTCCCTGTTTGCATAATGCCCTAGTAGTCTCATTCATTTATGTGCCATACTGGGAGAAGGCAGAGGCTTAAAATCAAACACTAGGCAAGAGGTCCCAAGTGACTCAGTGCCACGTAACACTGGCGCAGAGATACAACCTGAGGGCTCTGCTGCACTATTCCAGGGGGCCCTGGCCATAGGCTCCCCACCACCTACTCTGCCTCCAGGGCTGGGCATCCCTTCCCTCAAGCACTGGGCCAGCTCAGTGAGCTTCACAGATCTGAGCAGTTACTCTGGCTGCGGTTAGCACCATCCCCCAATGCGGCCTCTGAGCCAGCTCCTACCTGACTGATGGATAAAAGCTGGAAAGAGGGCCAGGGAGACCTGAACGGATTCCTGCAGCGACTGGTAGCAGATCTGTCGGGACTTGGTGGATTCCCCAGAGATATTCTCCACGATATCTTCTAAGACACTAAGTGTCTGGTGGATAACCATTTTGGCTGCAAATCAAGATAAAGGTGCCTGTTATGACTTGTCTGAGGAAAAAGCTGGGTATGAGAGAACATAGGAAATGGGAGGAAATTTGCAAAGGTATTAAGAGGACAACCACACAGAAGTCTTGCTAAAGCAATACATAAAGTCTCTTGATTAAGTTAGAAATATCCCTTTCCCTATTCTCTTTCCATAACCTTTTCATTTTTTCTTTTTACTGCCAGGACTGCAGTTGCCTGCCTGCCAAGTTTTTTTTTTTTTACCTCTACCCACCAGAACAAGCCCCCAAAGAGAAGAAAGGACCAAATTTACCCTCAGGTAATTACAACTAAACGATAAGTGTACAGACTGATGAAAAAGTAAGTGTCACAAGGTGATTACTACAGGTAAGAAGAGACACAGGCAGATCAAAGTTTTCCTTCAACTCTAGACGCTACTCTAGCCAGATAATCCAGATACCCTGCTATGAACATCTAATGGTGCTGCGTTCTGGAATAAATTGCCTGATGAGTTCCTGGCCTAACAGACCTCTGCCCAGACAATATATATAATAATAACCATTATGTTGCTTTATATGTTATTGAGCCACTATTTTATCTCATTCTCAGTTCTATGAGCAAGGTGTCAATTCTAACAATACACGATGGATGAGCTCTTTATGAGTCTCATACAGCACACAGAGAAAACAGAGGCAGTGGCAGACAAACAAGGAGTAGTTTAGAGGAAAAAGCTATCGCCTGGGATCAGAGAACCCTGGATATGAACCACAGATGGTCACTAGCTGGCTATATGACCTGTAGCAGGATCCTTGTCAACACACTGGGACAGCCACCAGCCCCACCTCTGCAGGGTTGCTGTGAAGATTAGTGACAAGGTTGAGAAGGGTTCTAGCAAAGTGTCTGGCATATGAGAAGCCCAGGACAGGGAAGCTGTCATCATTCCCCAGCATGGGTCCAAGGGGTTTCTTTTCCTTTTAGACTTGGAGCTTCCCTCAGCCTGATCCCGACACACTCAACCCTGGCTGACCTCCACAAGCCAAACCAGAGCTAGGCTGTGAGTTCTGCCCTCCACTTAGCAGCACTCTCTGAATCGCCCTGAACCTCAGAGCTCACCAGCATCTGTGGAGCTGAAGCAGCTTCCAAAGAAGGCTACATATGCTACATATGCAGAAGGAACATATGCTCTGGCGGTAGGTGGAATCAGGATTGACTCTGGCACTGCTAGACAGACTGAGTCTTGGTTTCCTCATCTGAAAATGTGGATAACACTACCTCACTCACAGAATTGAGAATGAGGTAAAATAATGGCTCACAACAGACCAGGTCCACTGAAGGCTGGTCAGTGACACATGGAAAGTAGATGAAAAGAACACCCATACTACTGATTAAGGATCCACTCACTCACTCACAACTTGTACAAGCACGTGAACTTTTACCAAGCCTGGAATCGTACTTGGGGCAGACATATCTCAAGAACACACAGGTACATAGAAAGCAGTTTAGGGAAAAAGCCAGTAGAGTCAAGAGACCAAAATCTGACCTCTGACAAAAGTTTAAGGAAAGTGGAACAAGAAACAAGCAAGAATCACTTACAAAAATGTACAAGTGAAAAACTGAAAGCACCATAAATATGTAATCATAGGAAAATGGGTACATAAATTGTGGCACTGCCACGTGATAGGATATTATAAAACCATTAAACATAAACAAAAAAAAACCCAATGCTTTTAAGAAGAAAGAAGCAACGTGGCAACATGGTTAAGAACACAGGATCTGGAGCCATTCAGACCCAAATTTGACTCCTGACCCCATCTCTTTCTCTATGATTCTAGGCAATTTAGACCTTCAAGGCTTTGGGGAGGAAAGGTATCTTTACAGTAGACAGACTGGCAGACACTGCTCAAAACAAGTGATTAAACTGAGTCTCACCAAAAACGGGACAAAGAGAAACAATACAATAGGAAGTATACAACACTACCTATGTGGCACTGTTGCCAAAAATATTCAACCTGAATATAACCAAGAGGAAAGAATCTGACAAATCCAGATTATAGGGGACATTGTACCAGAAAACAAGCCTGGACTCTTCAAAAATGTCAATGTCATGAAAGACAAAAAACGGGGTAATTCTCTATATTAAAGGAGATTAAAGAGCTGTGACAACCAAATGTAACACACGATCCTTGCCTGTATTCTGGAAAAAAGGATATTTTGGTAGCAACTGGGAAATTTTGAATGTGGTCCATATGTTAAATGTCATTATTAAAACAATATTAAACATTTTTGTTGTGTTAATGGTGTTTTAGTTATATAAGAGAATATCTTGTTCTATATAGAAACAAAAGTATTCAGGGATAAAGTCTCAAAGTCTGCAACTTTAAATGGCTCAGTAAAAAAGCAAAGTGTGTGTGCGTGTGTGTGTGTGCAGATGGGGGAAGCAAAGGTGGCAAGACTGGTGAATCTAGGTGAAAGATGAACAGATGTTTCTTATTCTTTCAACTTTTGTGTAGGTTTGAAAATTTTTTTTTCAAAGTATAAAACTGGGATAAGAAAAAGAAAACTTTCAAGCCTTCATTTCATCACTTACAGGATGAAGACAGTAAGATATTCTTCAAAGAGCTATAGGAAAGACTAAATGAACTAATGCCTGCGAAGTTCTTAGCCCAGTGCCTGGCACACAGTAAACACTCAACAAATGTTAACTATGTCTTTTATTATGCTCACCATGGAAATCACTAATGCTATCCCGTCAATATTTCCAGCACATGGTGGCACCACACTTCCCCACCCCTCTGAAGTTAGGCAAAGCCATGTAACTTGCTTCAGCCAATGAAATGTGAGTAGAAGTGTTAAGTGTCACTTCTAGGCAAAGCTTTAAGAACGACTACACAATTCACCATGCTCCCTTCCCAATGCCTCAGTGATCATGTAAATGTGTACTGAAATGGAGCCTTCATCACCCCGGGCCCTGAGGGACTACCGTCAGCAGAATCTACCTCCCCTTTGACCCAAACTGGGCATGCAACAATTTTTTTTTCTTGCACTAAGCCACTAAGCTTTTGGAGTTATTTGTTACCACACAGCATAACCTAGCCTATACTGACTGATATAATTACCATGTAAGATAAAGTGAGAAAAAAGACCACTAAACTGTTTATAAAACATGATTCCACAATAGCTATATGACTCACCCTGGGCAATTTTCTTCATCTTCTCATACCTTAGTTTTCTCCTGGATAAAATCAGGATAATTAACAGTATCTAACTCATAAGGTTGACATGAAAATTTAAATGAATTAACCAACCAGTTGCTGTTAAGTGGATTCTGAAATGAATGAATGACTGAATGTAAACACTGAGAACCAGGATCAGACAAATACCAGACTCTAAAGGCTCATGATGGCACAGAGATCTGATGGTGGATATAAAATTGCTAGCACACAGTATGCCCTCAATAACTCAGCTATTCTTACTCCAACAATATAACTATAAAACATATTTTAAAATTGAAGAAGGATGATAATGACAAAAAAAAAAAGTTAAAATGGTTACTTTCCAAAATATTAAAACTGGTAGGGTTTAAGAGTTTCTTTTTCCTTTTTTATACTATTCTAATATTTTTGTATAATAAGCATATAATAGCTTTCCTGATTATAAAAGTAATGCTTTTTTGTTGACATTCTACAAACGATACCATTCAATAATATACTTTCTTATTGTGAAAATAGATGATTTATTTTTAAATATGTCTGAAAGATTCTTCAGAGAAATCTGGTATCTCCTACTTGAAATACTGAGTTCTCTTGATTCCTTTTTTCTTTCTCTTTTAATATAAATAATTAGACTTGAAGTGCCATTTGGAAAGATACCAAGCTCTTGTTAAAAAAAATCTCAAAAGACAGAGTTCTTAAATTCATTTTTCCTAGTCTGTAGGGATGAACTGTTTTTTTTTTTTTTGCTTATACATATATCTGAAATGGATCAATAACCACTGTAGGATTTCTTTTATTGATGGGAGGCACCATTAATACCAACTTATACGGATTTTTTTCCTTAGGTCTCCAGCATTTTTTACATTTAAAATAAGAGAAGGGTTGTCCTGCGTTCAGGAAATATTGTCCAGCTGATTAACTGAATTCTGTGGAGGAGGAGGATTCTACTATCCCAAGTCTGACTCTTCCGCTTAACAGCTCAGTGACTATGACAACTGAATTCACCTCGTGAGCCTCGGGTGCCAGTCTCATCTGCCAGATAGGGGAAACCATGCCCATCTATCTCCCTGGACTTTCCATCATGATACTTACTGTCATCCAGCGGCACCTTCCTGTGTGGAGCAACAGCACTGGGTTTCAGGTCGCGGTAGTCTCGGGAGAGTGCGGAGATGAGGCTAGCATGGTTGATGGAGCGCATAGGCCACTGCTGCTCATTCTCGGGAAGGTTTGGCCATGGAAGCAGCAGGATATTAGAGAGGGCTCGGCACACCAACACCTGAGCCTGGAAGGGACCATTGAAAGCATCCATCAAGGAGGTCAAAGAGCAAGAGACAGCAGAGCAGCCCCCTGACACAGCCTTTGGCACCCACTGCTCACTCTGAGCTCAGGGCCCCAGATTCCCTTCCGACAGCCCGGGCCTGGGGCTTTGGTCCAACTCTCAGGAAACCCAGGGAGGAAAAAGAAATGAAGTGATAACACCAAGTCTGGGTCTAGCACAACTCAGAGCCAGCCTCAGGAGTCACTTCTGGTGCCTTCCCTTCCCCTCTGGTACTGGAAGCATTACACAGGGAAAATCACACTTAGTCTAGCTTGCCCTCAGCTGCTGGCTTCTGACATCCTCTGAGGAGCTATTGAGAACAGGGCTTTGAGGAGAATCTCTTATAAAATTAATGTGCCTTTGGCGCCAGGTAAGCAGCAATATAGTCACATCCCAGGCACTCTGAAGTAACTGCTCTGACTCCTTGTCTGACACCTTTCTTGTTTGTTTTCAAACTTCTAGCCTCCTAGGAGGATTCTAAGAGAAATACCTGTCTGGAGCCTCTCAACCCTAAAAGGAGAAACAAATAACAACAAAAAATCCAGACTGTCTTAAACCAAAATGCATGCAAAGAGGACTCTCACAATGTTGACCACATTACCAGTTCTCAAAGACCAGTAAATGGCACCTGTCTGGGAGGAATCATTTTACGTCTGAATTGCCAAACTGACTAGCTGTGTTAGGAAGGGCATCACGAGAGGTCACTGAAGCTGCATCAGGGCCACACACTTAAGAAATCTGTGTGCACTGGCACGGCCTGTAAGCTCTGAGTGCAAAAAGAAAAGCCAGACTCTTCTTCCTAGGCCTCCCTGGGTCTGAACCAAACAGCTCTGGGGATCCTGAGATGGCCCTGGGGCCTCACCTTGTCGACAAGTCGCTGGGCAGAGGCATCGGTAATTCTGTTGAACACTTTCTGTACTGCAGGGATGCTGATCAGAAAGACTGGCCGCACAGTGGTGGCTAGCGAGACCAGTAAGTGGCACGCAGACAGCAGCAACTTGTCTTGGACCTGGGAGGGAAGAGGACATGTCAGCTCACTACATCCCAGTGAGAGTGGTATTAGAAGAGCTTTGATGCTGTGCTCTTCTCAAAAGGCAACCCACAAGTTTAATATGATTCGTCGCTGCCAATTGTATCATCCAGGCAATAACTCGAAGCAGTTTTCCTATGCTGACTCTCAGAAGCAATGTGTCCAATCTTCTTTGCCATGCCCATAGTTCCTGCCCTCAAGCCAGTATCACCACCTTGAGTTTCTCCCTGTTCACAGTCACTGAAATGTCTGAACTCAGTCACTTCCTAGCTTATGAATCTACAGTGGCTTCCTATCAGCTATTAAATCACATGGCAAACTCCTTGGCCTATCACTCAAAGTCCTCCCCTTCAAACAACTCGGGATTCTTCATCTTACTCTTCTTGCTCCAACAAAGCCATGATCTCTCCTGGTCTCCTCCTTCTGCACTCCATCGACCACACCAATCCTTCACCTCAATATGCCTAATAAAAACTTGGGTCAAGTCATCCTGTCACCTTCAAATTTGCAAAAGAGACAGAACCTAATGCTGATTAAGACTATGGTAGAAACAGCACAGCAAAACAGAGTTGGGAGTATGTAAAAGTATTTAGGAAAGAAATATTACTATTATTTCCTGGAGTCTCCACTTATGCTAAGGAAATTACCTAAAAGCTTGAAGTTATATTCATGAATACAAGCATTTCAGAATTATTTGTAATAATTTTTTTTTAAAAAATCACTGAGGCAATCTAAAAATCTAGCAATGGTAGGTAAATTATGGAACAATCCCCTTATAGGATATCATAACTATTTACAAACTACAATAATAAACACAACAAATATATGGAAAACAATAAATTGTTAAAAGCAGTACAAAATGGTAACATGACTAAAACTACCAAAAAGATGTAAGAGAAACAAGCATCTACATCCTCTAGCAATATTAATTGGCAGACTTTTTAGAGGACAATTTAACAGAATCCATCAAATTTTACATGGATACAGACTTCGACTCAGCAATTCCACTTCCAGGAATTCATCCTACAGACCCACTAGCTTATGTGTATAAAGACATACATACAAGGATACTCACTGTAGCCATATAAAATTTCAAAAACCTAAATTTCCATCAGTAGAAAAATTACAATACATCCACACTACAGAACAGTACTGGGTAATTTGAAAAAATGAAGTTGCTCTGTAAAAAAGAGCTACATATATCTATAAAGTTTTTTTTTTTTCTTTTTTAAATAATTGTTTGCTTTTTCAGTGAATATTTACATAGTAGTTTAGGTTCCCATTCAACAGTTTCTACACCAGCTATTCAGTGATACTGGTTACATCTGTCTCAATGTGTGAACATTCTCATTATTTCTGTTCTGGTTGTTGTTTCCATTAATCTAGTTTCCCTGCCCCCTTTCATTCTCATCTTTGCTTTAAAGTCATTGTTGACTGCCTGGTCTCATACAGGTGATTTTTTAAAGGAGCACAGTACTTATGGGCGATATTCATTATTTTTTGAGCCAATTTGTTATTTAGCTACAAGGTGACCTCAGGGGTCAACTTTGGTTCAAGGTTTTATGAATATCTCAGGACAATAATCTCAGGGAGTCTTCCAGTCTCAACCAGTCCAGTAGGTCTGATTTTGTTTTTTGTTTTAAGGAATTTGAGGTTCTGTTCCACATTTTTCTTCCATTCTATCAAGGTCCACCTGTTGTGGCCCTGCTATCTATAAACTTTTACTTATGTATGTAATGACACAGAAAAGTCTGGAAGGATATACAACAAACTGCTGACAGTGGCTACCTTGAGAAGGAAAATGTTTTGGAAGAAGGGATTAAAGATTGCCATAATTCTCTGGTCTATAAATTTGAATTATTTTATTTTTTTACAAAGAGCATGTGTTCATGTGGGACTTAAAGAACTAAAAAGCTAACACTCTATTTGAATTTATGCAGACAATGCTAAGAATTACAGTCTACCTGTGTAATATTTTGTTTTTATGATAAACAGGTATATGGACAGAAGGACAGACAGATAAAAAGTATAGCCTTCGCTGTTTCAATACCTTGGTGCTGATTAGAGGTGTGATTGCATCCATGGTAGTAGAGATCAGAGAAACAAACTGCTGTGTACTCTGCCGATGAACTTCACTGTAATACTGTGCTAACCAGTGAGAGTAAGCCTGGAGAGCAGCCAGGGACTGAGCATGCCTGTTAGATGGAAAGAAGATGAAATTTTAAAGGCTATGGTAAAAATATATTAGCATTAAACTTGTTTCCACAGGAGAGAAAAATGCCATCCTCTGTGTTTACTGCTCCAGTACATGAGCGACAGCATGGAAGTCCTTTACTTGCTCACATAGGACCTAAAAATTACAACATTCATCATCTAAATATTGCCACCACTGCCCAGAACACAGTAGGCAGTTAGTAAATGTCTACCGGATTTGTTCAGTCTTTCTGTGATACATGAGTTCACCTGAAAGAATGGCAAAAATATAAACACAGAATCCAGGAACTGTAAATGATAATGTGTTGACTCTGGAACTAGTAAAAATATAACCACCATGGTTGCAGACCAGGGTATAAACAACTACCAGATATTACAGCTTTGTAAGTAAAGTTTTGAAGTAAGATTCTCAAGTTTAACTTTCTACGACACTATATACACATTATTAACTAGCTAGAGGATATCTGTTAGGTTGCAAAAACCTGTTTGGTTTCTGCAAATTTTGTGCTGCCTCATACATGTAACAAAATATATACCCTAAAAGCTCACTGAAGATAATAAGCAATAAATCTTAAATAAGGTGTTAGCTTTCAGAGCTTTGAAACACCAAGCCTTCTAAAAGAACTAAATGGAATTTCTCTCCTTTCTATAATAATTAATAAATAATCTGTGAGGTGATGCTTCGAGACTATATACTGTTCCCCAACATCCATTTATCCATGGTTTTGGTATCCACTAAGGATCCTTGCCTAAATCATCCTGAAGCTGGAGATTGCAAACTGGTGATTTTTCTATTTTTCCTTTTTTATTCATTAGCTGGCATTCTTCTGTAAAAAAAAGAGTTTTCCCTCCCCCCTTTCTTTAAAAATCACTACGGATGCAAGGATTCTTTTAATTCAATACGTTAAAACCCATTATCATCCTTATTCTTTCATCTTTTTAAAAATAATTTATTTTTTGTTGTTGTTGAGGATATACATGGTAGAACATACACTAATTCAACAGCTTCTACATGGACCATTCAATGATAAACTGATTACAATCTTCAAGTTGTGCAACCATTCTCACCCTCTTTTCCTGAATTGTTCCTCCCCCATTAACATAAACTCACTGCCTGCTAAGTTTCCCATCTAATCTTTCGAATTGCTGTTGTCACTTTGATCCCACATAGATAGATCTTAAGAGGGCACAATGCTCAAGGCAGATACTCTTTACTATTTAAATTACTGTTTAGTTTTAAGAAGACTTCAGGGAATATTTTTGGTTTAAGGCTTAAAGATTATCTCAGGGCAACAGTTTCAGGGGTTCATCCACCCTTCATGGGGACTGGGGGCTCCAGAAAGTCTAGAGTTCATGAGAATTTGAAAATCTGTTCTGCATTTTCCCCCTCCTGATCAGGATTCTTCTATGGAATCTTTCATCAAAATGTTCAGTAATGGTAGCCAGGCATCATCCAGTTCTGGTCTCATGACAAAGGAGGCAGTTGTTCATGGTGGCAATTAGCTACACATTCCATTTCCTCCTCCTCATTCTTTCTTGATGATCAAGGTGTCTAATGTAACCAGGAAAAACCCTTCCGAGCCAGCTCCTGCAACCTTTTCACGCATTCCCAGTATTCACTGAGCACTTCCTTACTCACTGGCTCAGTAAGATTCTCCCAGATCACTCTGCTCCAGACCTGGAAGGGGCCATTTCTCCAAGGAGTTCTGGTTCCTTTTAGTGGGGAATGCATTTTAGAAACCAAGCCCTGGGTATGAGGGGTCGCACTGCTACTGGGGTGTCATTGCTTCTAGGACCTTTCAGTGGACAGAGCTAAGATACAGGCAGGCACCATTATAAAATCAAACTTAGCATCACCAATTACAGGGCAAACTGACACTAAGTGCCTCCTGATATGATTCAAGAGGAAGCATACACCACCACTTCTGTAGTATTCTTGCCAAAAATGTTTAACCTGAATCTAATACAGAAGACACAGCTAGACAATTCCAATTATAGAATATCCTTAAAAAAGAAAAATTAAGGCCTGATCTTACAAGTCAGTCAGTCTCTCTCTCAAACACACACACATGCTCACAAGCACAACTGGGGGAATTGTTCTAGATTATAGGAGACAATGAAATTTAATGTGTGATTTTATGATTAGTTAGCCCTTGGATCCAAAAAAAAGTCCACAAAGGACATTCCTGGAACAACTGCAGAAAGGTGAATATAGACTATGTATTAGATAATATTATTGTCTCTAATGAATGTTTTTGAGTGCGATAATAGTATTATGGTTATGTAGGAGAATGGCCTTGTTCTCAGGAGATAATGCTGAAGGATTCATGAGTGAAGTAGTATGTTGTCCACAATTTATTTTCAAATAGTTCAGCAAAAAACAATTTATGTGTGTGCATGTGTGTACACAGAAAGAAAATACAGGAAACAAAAGCAAATGTGGTAAAATATTAGTAATTGGTGAATCTAGGTGAAAGGTGTGGACATTCTAAGTGAAAAGTATAAGAGTGTTCACTCGACTATTTTTCAACTTTTCTACAGGTCTAAACTCTTTCAAAATAAGAAATTGGGTAAGAAAAGGTACTAAGTACCCTAAAGTAAGAAAATATAGGTATTTGGAGTTTGAAATTCATAGTGACCAGGCAGTTATTCTGTATCTTATATTTAGACTTTTGCTCATTTTATCCTTTACTTAAGTTCTAAGTGCTGAAACTAAGAAGGAAGATCAAAGTCTGCCTTTGGAGTCTGAAAATTTCAGTCAATCTATCAAATTTACAGAGCTTCTCAAGGCTGGCAGGAGGGGCCCTAAAACTTCCTGAAACTGTGTGCAAGATGTTTTATTTATGAGAAAATTAGCATCTTTCTGGGGAGAAGCTTCACAGCTTTCAATTCTAATTCTCAAAGAGGAAACCAATATCTACCCCCCAAAAAGTTTAAAAACACTATGGTAAAGATTCTCTTCCCATCGTTTATCTAATTTGCAGCTCAAGAATGCTCTAGAGTAGAAGTCAACAAATGTTATCTGTTTAAAAAAAAGGGACAGTATACACATGCTATATAGCCTTGCAGGCTGTAAATTTCTGTCACTACTATTCAACTGTGCTGATATAGTGCAAAAGTAGCCATAGATAATACATTAATGAATGGATGTAGCTGTGTTCCAATAGAATTTTATTTACAAAAGCAGAGGGGTCGGGCCAGATGTGGCACAGGCTGTAGTTTGCCAACCATTGCTCTAGTCTAGGGCAAGCCTTCTGCACAGTGTAATCTCTGACATATGGCCCCATCTCCAGCCCCCACTCCTTCAACTTCCACCCCTCCCCATCCCCTTCCATCACGTCACTTTCCTAATGGCCTCCAACAGAGCTTCTCAAAGTGTTGTCCCTGGATGTCCTGCTTCAAAATATCCTGAGGTTCTTGTTCAATATGCAAATACTTGAGCCTACTGTCATCCTGCTATAATCAAAATCTCTGCGGGAATGTGTTCCTCAAGTAATTCCTCTCTTTCCTACAGTTTCAGTCACTGGTCTACAGGACAAGATACATGGCATTCAAGCACTTTCCATTTTAGTCCACCATGCCTATCCAGCCTCATCTCCTGCCACACAACGCGCTCACCACCTCCCTAAATGTGTGACTTTGCAACACCTCTGTGCCTTAGTTTGTGCTGTTCTTTCTTCCTGGAATGTCTACTCCATACACCCTCCACCCCAGCTCTCATCTACCTGACAAATTCCTCTTACTCCAATCACCCCAACCCCAAGATATACAATCAAGCTCTTTCTCTTTCTAGGTATGGAGTGGGGGCGTTTTCTCTCCTTCATGACAGCTGCTAATGTTCCTTTATATCTATCAAAACATTTGGGGATGTAACAGGTCTTTCCTGAGACTGTAAAAAGCACCAAACTCTATACTTACACATCAATGAGGTCAGGTTTCAGTACTGATGGCACAGCAGTCTCAATGTTGTACAATTTTATCTGAGATCCATACAGAGTGACTTTGACTAATCTGTTGGCAAAGAAACAAGTCAGAAAGAACATTCAGCTTATGGGCTAAAATAGACAAAATTGGACAAGGTACCAACAAAAATGCAAGGACAGACTAGAATTACTTTTTCATACAAAAAAGGATCAAGACCAGACCTTCAGTTTTATCCCAAGGAACTAATCTAAGATGTGCATAAAAATTTATATACAAGGATACTAATTAAAGCATTATTTACAATGTCAAAAATTTTGAAAACAATATAAACATCCAATACAGAGGAAGTGATACAATATACTACAGGCAATAAAAGCCATGTTTAGAAGAATATTTAATGACAAATATTTAAGATATTTGAAGCATGAAAAGGCTGCAACAAATACATACACAGAATGTATCCCAATTTTGTTATAAAAATGTATGTCTGTTAACAGAAAAAAGGCTGGAAGAATGTTCATCAAAACATGTTTACTGGTTACCACTTGCTTTGGAGGTAGGATGGAGTGGGTGGATTATGAATGATTTTTTTCCCTTCTACTTTTCTGTACTTCCAAACTGTCTACAATAAATATATATTACTTTTACAAACGAGCAGCATATAAAATATTTTTTTAAAAAGCAAACCTGCTCTTTTGACAATTTACCTTAATAAGTTGGTGTGGATCTTCCTATAAAATTTGTCTAATGATAAAACGACCTTAAGCTTTTATTTAAAAATCATTTTTTTGAAGAAAATGTTTGAAGTGGATATATGATAAAGCAACTATAGAAACATGTTCACTGTAGAATCTAGGTGGTAGCTAAATGTGTTATTTCCTGTACAATTCTTTCAACTTTTCTAGATGAAACATTAGGGGGCGGGAAGGAATGAATGTTTTTAGAATAAATTGAGATTTTTAAACTTCAAATACAATTCTTTCAAAAGTAAGCTACTGAGCCCACTGGTTGCTCAAGGGCTCACTGTATACAAACAAGTATTAAATTCAATAATAGTTAGCTCTACTGGGAAATGGAAAATGTCTCTTTCATTAGCGATAGAAAACCATTCCTTTCTCACCAAAAGGAAATTAAAAAAAAAAAAAAAAATCTGAGACTTGGCCAATTCCACTCTGTCAGGAAACCTAGGAGATGGATGCAAGGGAAGACAGTGTGTTTTGCTCCCTCAATCCAGTAGAGCAGCGGTTCTCAAACTCTGCTGAACACAAGAATCAACTGGGGAATTTTCGTACAAATGCAAACTCCCTTGGCCTATCCCCACGACCAACTGTAGGTGTCAGGAAGGGTCTGGAAATCTGCATCTCTGAAAAGCAGCCAGAGGACTCTGATGCATGTGGACCACAATCTGAAAAATGTTCCCCTGAGGACTTTATTCCAAAGAGAAAACCACAGGCTTGAGCCACAAACTGTTCAGGGTTGGGGAGCAGTCAGAAAGAGGCCCTTCCAGTCAGTCAAGAAAATGAAGGTAAAAGAGGCAAGGGTTCTCAATCAGAGACCCTAGGAAGGGGGACGAGTGGTGATAACTGGGAATTAAAATAGTTACTCTCAGTAAGAAAGAAATATATCAACTCACATCTGGTGTTTAATTCTCTAAATATTGTTCCACACTAAACATGGACTTCTGTCTTTTAATAGAAATCTATGCTTAGCAGTTTTAATATTAAGTTTTGTTTTATGTAACTTGTGAGTAAAAACACTGCTGATCACAGTGGCTGTTAAGATCATGTAGCCATAACAAAAAGCCTTCTCTCAAACTTGATTCTAAATGAAGACAAAATAGTAAAGTATCTTTAAGTGCTGAGCTTGCAAATCTAAGCGGCACAGAAAGATGTATAAGGACCTATAAAATAATGTTTCAAGATCTCGGATAAATCATTTCACTATGAAGTTGAGAAGACTGATATGTTGCATAACAGAGAATAAATTCAAATAATGGATGCTTATCTATGGATTTCAGACAGGAAGACATGTTCTACTGAACATACAGTGCAAACAGGTCTAGCACAGGAAGAACAGAAAAAACAGACTCTGGAAGTAGAAGTACTATAGTTTGGGAAAAGCATTTGAAATCAGGAAACTAGTTAAAACCCCTGTGCTGCCTCTTGTAAGCTGTGTGACCTGAGGTGAGGTACTGATCTCTGAGCCACAGTTTCCTCAATGATAAAATGGCAATATCTAGCTCTCAAAGTATAAAATAAGATGAAAATATGCAAAAACGCTTTTGAAAACTTCAGAATATTGTACACTGCTTTTATTATTAATATTAATCTGGCTTTTAAAGAATTCATTTATAAAAGATAAAAAAAATAAAAAAAAAATTCATTTAAAATTCATAGTTATCTAAAGCAAAGATATAACAGTTAAAGAAAAATCTGGTATGCAAGTAACTAGGCTACTGGGGCTTGGCTTCCCCCTCTGTGTCACCAGTGATACGGCTAGAAGGCCGATGAAAGCATCAGGTGTGTTGGCTTTGGGCTGGACCCACATCCACTCAGTTTTGGCCTAATCAGCTCAATGGTTATCTTGAAATGGTCTGAACTACCTATTGCTTACAACTGATTTTTTCTTTAACCTATTTTTTGTTGCTTTTGTTGAGAATATACACAGCACAACATACACCAATTCAACAATTTCTACATGTACAATTTAGTGACACTGATTACATCCTGCAAGTTGTGCAACCATCCTTACCCTCCTTTTCTGAATTGTTCTTCCCCCTTAACATAAACTCATTGCCCGCCAAGTTTCCTATCTAATCTTTTGAGTTACTGTTGTCAATTTGATCCCATATAGATAGTTCTTAAAAGAGCACAATGCTCAAGACAGACATTCTTTACTAGTTAAGCTAAACTGTTGTTTGGTTTAAAGAAGACTTCAAGGGATATTTTTGGTTTAAGGTTTAAAGATTATCTCAGGACAATAGTTTCAGGGGTTCACCCAGCCTCAACAGTTCCAGAGTCTGCATTCCATGCAAATGTGAAATTCTCTTCTGCATTTTCCTCCTTTTGATCAGGATTCTTCTATACATCTTATTTTTTAAGCATATGTGAAGGTGGGGTGGTGGGGGACTGGGTAGAATGAAATGTTATTCAACAAATACAGCTGGAAACCCCCTGTGGGACCTAAGAGGAAGCAATAAAAGAAGCCTCATAGTGGATAAGCTGGGAGCCACCTCTCAGGCCAGTCTTGGAGGCTGCCCAGATTTAACTGCTTAGGACCCTCAAGGGACTGGAAAAAAACACAGAAAGCCCCATCTCTTCAAGGCAGCATTTGGCTGCCTACTTGGATAGTGTGTGTTGTCCCTTATTAATAGGGCTTTCCTAGTGTCTCATCCTATGGGAAGACATGACAAGTGACCTCATCTGATCTTCTGTCCTTACAGTTATATATAAGACCTTCAAAGAAGTAACAGATAGCTTATGTTTACTGAAGGTTTTGCTTTGTACTAGGCACTGTGCTAAGTGCCTTATCTTCATTTAATTCTCACATAAACCTAAGATATGCTATTTCTACTCCATTTTACAGATGACAGACCTGGAGTTTGGAGAGGTGAAGTAATTTGCTCTACATTAGCTTATATGTGGCACAGCCCTATTTAACCAGTGCCAGAGTGAAAGCTATTTGGTAATATGCTGTCCCCCACCAAGAAGGTAAAGCCGAGCCCTGAAGAAGGAACAGATCCATAACGTTACTGCCGGCCTACCTCTCCACGACGGTGAGGGCATTGCTGAACCGTGCAGCAAACACATCACCGATAAAGTACTCGGCTAACCGGCCCACAGCCTGCAGCAGGGAGCTCAAATCTCTCAGGGAACAATGCAATCGCCGGCAGTCATTTTCCGCTGTGATGTTCAACCGGTGTCCTGGAACATAACACCTCAGACAGTTTTTCACAGGAAGAACATGCTTTAGTTACCACTACAGATTACAGCTCATCCAGACAAGCTACATTTAGCAAAATCAATTTGCTTTCTCAAAACAAAGCAACCCACAGGCTGCTAACCAGTACTGAGACTGAGCAGGGAAACTCCACAGTCTCTACCTATAGCCACACCACATGTACTCCAGAGGCTACAGGGTGGGACTGACAGACTGGAGGGGAGAGACAGACAGAGTGAAGGAGGAGGGACAGATAGCCTGGGGTATGCTAACATAAACTGAGCACTGATTCCTCTTGACCCTGTGAGGTACTGATACTGCCAATTTTATATACAAGGAAACACACCCAGGGCAGCTCAGAAACTTGCCCAACATGGATCATATTTCCAGGGCAGAGCTGGTATTCTAAACTAAGTCTATGTGACTCCAAGCCTGCTGCCTTTTCATGACCCTCACTCAGAATCAAATCCCCACCAGCTGACAGGCAGGAATAGGGTAGACTCAGCATTCCACCCCAGCAGATTTTTAGGTGGCTCAGTACAGAAGGAATAACACACACAGGGCTTGGATGCAGAAGACACAGATTCCCAGCCACTTCCTGGCTCTGTGCCTTATTTAACCCTTCTAAGTTTCAGTTTCCTCATCTGAAAATGAAAAGAAAAAAAAAAAAAAAAACGCTACTATTTATTTCACAGGACTACTGTAAGGGCTAAATTAGAATACATAAAAACTCTGTAAACTAGAAGCATTATTCAATGTTTGTAATTCTTTACAATAAGAAAAAGCTAGTGATTTTCTAAGGCCTAAAACTGCACTTTTTACCATAATTTCTTCAATCTAAGTAGGAAGGATGCCAAGATGAAGGGCAAAATCATCCACAATTCAGTCACCTCCTGGCCCTTGGCTCTCTCTCCTCACACTGTCCATAAAGGACAGTAAGAATTTTCAGCCCAGAAGAAAAGCCTCTAAGCCTGACATAAAGTTCTCCTCATTCATCTAAACACAGTATAAGCGAAGCCTTCGAAACTGCAGCAGTGAGGCTGGGGCAGTGACAGTAAAATCACCAGCCCTCAGGGCACTTGCAATCCCACCACTCCCTAAATACTTCTCAAGCCAGTTCCCTCCTCTGCCTCTTCAGGCTTTTACTGTCTCTTGCTGGACTTCCTCCCACAGGGCTCTGGAACTACCTTTCTAGAGCCAGATCTAGGCACATAGTTCCCCTTAAGCCGAGTGTTAAACTTTGTTCTCTCCAGCTAAAAGTGGAAAGCCGAGACTTCCAGCATCAACTAGTAGGTCTTTCATGACTTCGCCTCCTTTGACTACTCCACTGTATCATCTGGATCCACTGATATAGATCACTCCCAGGTGCCTCGGGTCTCTGGGCCTCTCATAAGCTGTTTCCTCTGCCTGGACTGCCCATCATGTCGTCCTCTTCCCACTCAAACCTTGCAAGCCCCTACATGTCCTCTAGACGCACATAAGCATCATTTCTTCTGTGAGACCTTTCCTCCCCACCCCCCCAACAGAGGGAACATTCTTCCCTCCCCTCCTTCACTCCCTCATGGGAATGTGCACATATGTGCACATATGGAGATAAATGAATAACTCACAGGTCTATCTCCTTACTGCATTATGAACTCCTTCTCAGCGAGGGGCTATGCAGCGTCCTGTCTGTGTGCCCAGCACCCAGCACAGTGCCTAGTGCAGAGTGGGTGGCCATAAACGTACAAATGAATTAGGTACCATAGAACAGACAGCAAACTAGAGCAGGACAGGGAGGCTGGGGACTTAATTTCCTCATACTGTCTGTGGATAGACTCACTTGTATAATTTAAAGATGAATATGGATAAGTACCACTCGTAGACAGGAAAACAGCAAGGCTGAAAAGGCTGTGAAGTGGTGGCTGAAGTCACAAGCTTAATATCTCAGCCCCTACACCAACTTCCAAGGGGTGAGGCTGGGAACAGAGCCTGTGACAGGCCCCAAGGGAGCGTAGAGTATCCCCTGGGCAGGAGCCTGGCAAAGGGGAGACTTCAGCCAGGGACGGGTCATGGCGGGTCACATGTTGCCAAGGAACAGGAGAACAGAAAGAAGGGGCATCTCAGGGAAGGACCTTACAAGGAGACAGCCAGTGACAAAGGCCAGCTTCAACATGGCCCCAGTTGCCCTGTTTCCTCCTCCTACAGTCCACATGGAGAGCAGTGTCTTGATGCAGAAAACAGAATTCTCAGCCTCCAGGCAGCCACAAGGAGGCCGTCGGAGTGGGTGCTGAAGGAGAGTGAACCAGCTCCTCTAGTCACACAGCAAGAGAATGACCACCCCATACCGCCAGATGAGCCCACAGAACAAACAAAGCCAAGAGGTATTTTTGGTCATGCCTGGTCATGCAGGAGGGAGTAGTGCCTTCATGGGCTGCAGGAAGAGAGGGTTCTAATCTCCCAGTTAACAAAGGTACCACAATTACGTATCTCCTAGATGTCAATAGGATTTTCAGATTACAGCTTTGTAAACAGACTCCAAGAGTAAACTTCTAAAAACTGTTATTCCTTTGCACACCAAGCAAATCTTAGGGTTAGGTGAAAAACAGCCTAGAATTGGGTTTAGGAGTAGTTATCAGCTTTTCTTTCAAAGAGCCATGTGGACAGGTGATTGAACCAGCATCAATCACCCCTCACTCTGCCTGTACACACCTTCTTCACCTTTGGCTCCGTCTCCCAACAAGCTCCAACCTGATCACTAGCTTTCAATTTATTCATTGTACTTAATACTAGAACTAAGTACCCAGCTCTAAAATATTTTAAGTATGTAAGGGAAATACTGTGTTTCTCTTTTAAAAGCCAAACCAAAACACCTCCCTAAATCAAGTTTCCATTTCAGTATGGTATTTAACAGAGAACCTAAAGGTTATCCTGACCAAGCCTCTTTGCTCCTTGCATCCACACAAATCCATCTGATGCGTGAGCCCTTTCTGAAGCATTTCTTCCTCACCACCCAGCTCTTAACCCTCTTCCTGGACACTTGTAGTGAGTACTGGGGAGCTCAATGCCTCTTGAGGGAGCCCTTCACCTTGGACAGCTTGGTCAGAAATGCAGGAAAAATCTGTCTCCCTATAATTCCTCTTTATCATTCCTATATCCCTGGAGGGTAGAACACAAAACAAGTCTAAGCCTGCTGACACACGACAGCCATGGGGAGATGTGAAGACAGCGGTGACATTCTTCCAAATCTCTTCTTGGTTTAAAGACACTCCTGGGTCCCTTCCATTTCCTCTGTCACCTTCCTTCTAAGAATCTTTGCCATCCTTATCACTCCCCTCTAAACCTGCCCTAATCTGTCTACCAAAGTGCAGCACCTGGAATGGAAAACAGCGTGGAATTTCTCTGTGTGCGTGTCTTAAATTATTAGCTTGAATCATATCAAACTGCTTGTATTTGACCATTTCTGCCCTAACAAAACTAATTCATAGAGTTCAACTTAAGACATACGTGCCATCTAAGGGTCATGTTAGCCAAAATCACAGCTGGTTCTTTCCTGCTGTATCTGCAAGGTAGACAACACACAGGCAGGAAACCCAATCAAAGCCCCTCCCCATGCCTACAGCCTAGAAACCTAGTATTACCACCACAAAACCATGCTAGCACCAACTAAAATTGAGGGAGTGGGCCAGAGTTCCCAGTGTGAAAAGCTGTTCAGATTTACCCACATTTTCCTCTGTTTGGCTAAGGCTTAGATTTCTCCCCTGTGGCACAGAACATCACATAAGAATATTGCTATATACAGGTTTACAGAGACAAAATAACACGGTGATACTAAAAGAAGTCCCATTTTCCATAAACCAAGTCATCCTGACACTACCCAGGTATACTCTAAGCCACATCTAAAGAACAGCTCCCTGGGAAATCACTGCCCTAGAAAAACATTTTAATATTAAGCAAAATTCAGTCATCTCCCTTTTTTTGTGGGGAGGGGGTGTGGAGGGAAGATAGGGGAGTGAAAATTAGCATTTGAGGTAATCCACTCAGAGAATAAACAAATTGAATCCAATTAGAACAAAGAATATAAGTCCAAAAAAGCTTATATATTATAGATGAAAAGATATCTTAGGTAAGAAAGCTTGCATGACTAACTGGAAAAGTTAAAAGGGTTACTGAGAGCAGAAATGTTGCCCCAATGAGGACAGATCTCAGGGAGGAGAGGCAGAGGCCAAATACAAAATGGATACTTTAGAGCCACATGCAAGATGCCATATAAGAGGAACAGCAACCAATGAGAGGATTTCTTAATCCACAAAAAGCAGGAAAGTCAGACAGCCAGAGAGAAGGATGACCTGCCAGGGACAAGAGAGGCACACGGCTACTAATATGCCATAGCAACATGGCACATTTTGTACTGGTCTCTACTGAGGAAGTGGGTTAGTTAACTCCTTTTTGGAAGGAAGAAGATCAGCAGCAGTAGATCAAATAGTTAGAACACAAAATCTTCTGAATTTAAATCTCTACCAAAATCAACAGCAGGGGCCCTGTAGGTTTCACTGCTGGCCAAAACGTACACACCCTGTTGTTATAAATGACTACAGCACCAGAAGAGTTCAAGAATCTTGGCTGACTCCCATCTACACAGGTTCCAGGGGAGACCTAGGAATTAACAGTGATAGGGTAAATACAACTGAATAGAGTGGACCATAACATATGAGGAGAAAAGATAACATGGTTGCTGTGAAGAGGCAATAAGGCTGACTAATATAGCATGGAGGTTATTTGAGAGGGTAAACGACCATGGGAACTGGGGAATAAAATCTACTCAAAGTTTCAATTTTTTAATATCCTCTGCATTGGAAACTTGGCTCTTGAGCCACCAACGGGTGGGTGAATACTCTGTCATGGATAAAAGAGCTCATTTTAAAACAGGAAATAAGTATTTCTCTGGCCTGAGGTTTTGCCATTGGAGTATGCATCAAGGATCAGTGCTGGGGATGCAATTTATAAACGATCTGGAAGAGTCAAGCACCTTGTGAAACTGCCAGCAAATGGACTTCAATGAGGGTAGGTATATTTCATCTAGGGAAAAATAAATCAGATTATCCTTCTAGGAAGAGAAGCTCTGAGTTAACAGCTGTGTCTCAGAGAAAGGATTTAAGATTCACTGCAGATTTTCACCTGAAAACTGACTCAACACAATATAAAAGTCAGCTACAACAATGAAAAGGAAAACTAGGTGTTATTTTTTTTTGGGGGGGGGGGCTGTATGTGATTTTTTTAAGATCAAGAATAATGTCTCTAGGTCCTGAGTATATTCTAATTTGAACAGTGGCCCTAAAGGAGAGACCACCTGGGCATGATTATTCCCAGGAAGATTCTGGAATCATCTGCCTGAAGCATTTGTACACAGTCAAATAATTTTCATTAACTGTGACAGTGTATTTTACAGACAAGTTTGCTTTGAAAAATTGGTCTTTTAAAGTTCTGTGTAAGCTGTTCCTACCCTATCTCCCAAGTCAGGGCCTATACTTGGGGCGTGCCAAATTCTATCAACCTCCTCGGGCCCACTGGATTATTTAGAAGCTAACAGTCATGGAAACAAACCGTCATGGGCCACCAAGGACACTCTCACAAACAGCCTCCTGTAGAGGCCCTGCCATGAAAAACAAGCTCCTGGAGGAGATGGGCCACACTTTGGCAGCTCTGTGCCAGCCTGAAACAACAGTTGTACAACAGAGGGGCTGAAGGCCAGAGCAAGGCATGGCTCCGGTAAGGAAAACACAGTGAAGAAAAGCAGTGTGAAATGACATATCGGAGATAACTGGGGGGATGGGGAGGACGTGTGTGTTTGCAAGCACAGTATTAAGTTTCTGGTGTTTTCAGCTGGCAAGATGAATGTCCAATTTTAGTTAAGTCAACTTTTACCACTCTCCATTATATGCCATGTTGGGACTAGCACTAACAAGCTATGTGACCTTGGGTAAACTAATATCTCTGAGCATCAATTTCCTCTTCTGTAAAATAGGAGTAACTAGTAATGGTACCTACACCTCACAGGACAATTAAGAAAATAAACTGAGATAACAAAAGTAAACCACTTAATGCAGCGCCTGGCATGTAATTAAGGAGTGCTTTACAAATGGACCCAAAAACCAAACCCACTGCCGTCGAATCGATTCCAACCCATAGCAACCCCATAGGGTTTCTGAGGCTGTAAATCTCTATGGAAGCAGACTACCACATCTTTCTCCCGAGGAGCCGCTGGTGGTTTCAAACTGCCGATCTTTTGGTTAGCAGTCAACTGCTTTAACCACTGCGCCACCAGGGCTTCTTACAAATGGAAGTAGTTATTATTATTATTATTATTACTATTAGCAAAATAACAACAAAATGTTAACCTTAAACCCCATGCAGCTGCAACTCACAAATGGCAGACCAAAGCCTTTCTAACTATAGTCAGAGCTTCCCAGCAACCATTTACAACAGAACAGCTAACAACTACTAGCTCTCAGTGTCTTCCTCCATGATTTGGCCTGCTTTGGAGCTGTTCCTATGTCCTTCTGATTCTAAAAACCAGAGAAGAAGAAACAGTACATCATAGGAAAGTCAAAGGCTATTTTTTCTAGCTTACTTGCTGTTTTAAAGGAAATAAGGGAATATTCTAACTGTTAGGGTTTTTAATAAATCCTGACTCTTTGCTCCAAATTAGCTTCTCTTCTCTCTCACTGAAACCCTCTTTAGAATATAATGTCATAATCTCATCTTTTACCTCCCCCACAGCTCCTTTTCATTTTTTTTTTAAACTTTTTCTGTTTAGAAGTGGGGAGAGATAGAGAGGCAGTGAGGCAGCAGTGGAGAAATCATGTTCTGACAGCAAAGAAGGTAGTAATTAAATATTAGTCCTTTTTTTTTTCTTAAAGTTAAATTAGAAAATAAAAACCAGTTTACCTGACCCTGAAGTAACTATAAATTGCTGTAACCCCAGATAAACTTCTAAATTGTCCTGAAGAACTGGGAACTGAAAAGAAACAAAGGTTTTTTTAAAATCAAAAATGCAAGTTTTAACATTAAAATATTTTAAGTACCTATGATGAGGAGGAAGGGAATCAAAAACTTCTCTGGGAACCTTTATGTACAGCTAAGAAGAGGTGGCTCCCTCTCTGGTATCCCACCACCAACTGATATTTGGAATCAGAGAAGAAAACAACACGTCAATTTGATACTTTTTTTTTTTTTTTTTTCAAAAAGCAAAAGATGCTGAGGTGGAACTTTTATGTTCCAAACAGAGGACATCAAGTCCCAAACGATCTATAGTTTCTGGAGCTCTGAGACTGGGGTGATATCTCCCTTCATATCAAACCCTACCCCTGAGAGAAATAGCAGATGTGCCTTATTAAAGTGTATGGCAGTGAGAGACGAGCAATTTCCCTTGCTGATTTAGCAGACAGGACTTTATAACCAGAGGTGTATCTTTTATTTCTAAAGCTGCTACACTCACCAATGCCATATATTAAGATAAAAACAAGAGTTGAATGTGACAGCTAGGCCCCTAAGAAAGGCAGATGGCAAAGTAAAATGGCACCTCCCGTGACAGAGAACACAAGACACAGCTGGGTTGCACAATGCAAGTGCTGACCCCTATAAATGATCTTGCCTTTGAAGAAGAGATGGACTTCCTGAAATCTCCTCAAATAACAAGCACCACTTAGTGTATGAATCGGTCCTTATGAATAAAGAGGCTAGCACTTAAACACAGGTGGAGAGAACTAGCAATCTGCTGAGAGCAAGCTTTACAAAGGCTAACTTTTCAGCAATGTAACTTTGATAACATCTCCACTATTTGGCCTGGCCACTTTTGAGCTACTGGTGAGGGCATTAAAGCATTAGTAAAACTCATATCATATCCAAGAGTTTGGGAGAGAAAAACAGAGCTTCCAAAAAGTTTGATTTAAAATATTGTTTGATACAAGCGAGCAAAAAAAGCATTTCTCATCATGTTATTATGAGCAGGGAAATAATCAGATCCTTCATTCCCCTCCAAATGGTTAGTTACCAGTGTTGAGAAGGCGTGGGTGGGAAGGAGCTCCATCACTTTGGCCACCACCTCCAAGCTCTGGCGTAAGTACCGCTGCCACTCTGTCTGCTGCTGCGGGGGAAACACAAAGGAATCAGCTCTCCCAGACAGCAGAATCTATAGTCATCTTCCCTGACAATCTGTCCTTGGTCTCACGTCCACCCTCAGACATACAAACTTTTGAAGAAATTGGAAAATGATGGAACCAGGTTATTTGGTACCTTAAAAAGGCCAAGCCAGAATATTTTCTAAAATTAATTTCATAAAAAGTTACTTCCTTAGGAAGCAAATTAATTGCAAATGATCCATGTAGAATAACCTACTTTTCCCCCTAGAATTATAGGAATTCAGAGTTAAAAGAGCCACTTGTGAGATGCTTGAGTCCCCTTTACATCATTCCACTTATAGTAACTAGTCACTCACTACCTTCTGAGACAGTCCACTTCTGGGTTCATGTAACTGATTATAAACTGCTGCCACTCGAAGTACGGTCTACAGGCAGGTAGCCTCAGTATCACCTGGAAGCTTGTTAGAAGTGCAAATTATCAGGTCCCACCCTGGACCTACTAAATCAGAACCTGTTTTAACAAGCTGTCCTGGTGATTCTTATCCACACTCAAGTTTCAGAAGAACTGGCCTAAATCATACAGTTAACATGAAGTGACACTAAAGTTTACCAAGCATCTATTATGTACCAGGCACTCAGCTGGTCCTTTCACATGTGTTGTTACCTCATGTAACTGTCACAACAAATCAGTAAGACGTATCATTTCTCTTTTGGGTGATGAGGAAATTAAAGCTAAGAGAAATTCAAAGCCCAGACATCTATCTCTTCTGTGCCCAAGATTGCAGAGTCAAATCCAGGCCATCTGGTTCCAAGCACAGGGCTCTTTCGACCCCAACCGTAGCTACTCTTCAAGGTCTTGACCGTGCCATACATACTCTTAGTTTGAGAGCTATACCAGTGTTTAAAGTGCCTGGTGATTAAGAAAAACAAACACTGGAGTTGGATGTGTCTTTAAAGTTATTTTCCTTAACAGTGTTGGGTATACCGGCATCAATAAATTCAAGATTGGTTTTAAGAGAGATCAGTTCACAAATAAAATACTCAAAACAGATTTCATTTCATTCTAGCTGTATCAGTTAAGTATCTCTAACTATTTCTACTAGTATCCAGCTAGCTTTTATTTGTTGCCTGGATGCGAGGCAGGGGAAATAGGAAGGATACAGAGTCTCATTAAACCACTTTTCACTGTACATAAGGTTTCTCTACTTGCATCTCTAGCCCCAGCCCATGCAGGTAAAAATGTCTGTAAAACTGTTTTCACGGTTAATAAGCCCAACGAGACTAGCAGGAGATGAAAATTTTCAGATGTACAATTCAAACCATAATACAACTACTAACTTGTCTCCAGAGCAGAGTGATTACGGGTTCTAAGTCTCAATTCTGATTCATACCACAACATCATGATAATTAAAGGTCAACTAGAGTATGCCACTTACATCATCATCCAGAGTCTCATCATCCAACTCCTCCAACTGGGCCTGGTTGTATCTGAACTGGATTCGATTCAACACCTCTGTGAGCAAGAGGACCAGGGCATCTTCGTACCTGTACGGCAGGAAGAAATTCAACATCAGGTGAAAGGAGGCCTTTAGCCTAGGATTTCAAAAAGGCCTCATGTACTATGAAAGGAATGGCTTCCACGTTGGAATACCATGTACAAGAAGCATCCAAACTCCTAATGCTTAGTTTATGGATTGGCAAGTGTGTGTGTGAGTGGGACAGCAGCAGAGGTATAACTGTGTACTCGGCACTGACTCTTGGTAGACTGTCTTATTATTATATAATGTCCTTTTTTGTCTCTGGTAACAACTTTTGTCTTAATTATTAGCACTCCAGCTCTCTTTTGGTCACTATTTGCATGGAATATCCTTTTCCATCCCTTTGTTTTCAACCTACTTGTGTCTTTGAAATCTAAAGTGAGTCTCTGGTAGACAACATGTATTTGGACCATGGTTTTTTAATCCACTCTGCCAATCTCTGCCTTTTAATTGGAGAGTTTAATCCTTTATATTTAATGTAATTACTGATAAGAAAGGACTTACTTCTGCCATTTTGTTATTTGTTTTCTATGTCTTAATATCATTTTTATTCTTTAATTCTTCCTCAATGTCTTCTTTTGTGTTGAGTAGATATTTTCTAGTGTTCAATTTTAATTCTCTTGTTGTTTCTTTTACTATGTATTTTTATTTTCTTATTGTCCTGGGTATTACAGGCACCATATATAAATATGAATTAATTATTTAATCCTTTTAACAGCTGTGGGAGGTAGCTGGTATCATCATTATTTTACTGGTGAAGAAACTACAGCTAACAGAAGTTAAACTGCTGTTAGCCGAAAGTCCACTTCAGACCAGAGAGCAGCCTGCTTACTGAAAAGAGAAAATGTTGGTTAAAAGAACTGTGTTATCTATAAATTGCCTTGCTGAGATGAAAGAATATTTAGAGGTTTTATAAGGTCATACAGCTGGCTGATTTGAACCCATAACCACCTGACTTGAAATCCCAAATTCTTCTCTCTACACACCAAACCAACAACCGGCTTTGAGCCTGCCCTACATCCCCCCTCAAAACCTAATCTTTAGCCAAATTTAAGAAGACTAAAAACTAAAAAGAAATGGAAAAGGAATGGGGAACCCTGACCCTTTTTATCTGTGTCAAAGAATAATTTCTCTAAGAAACACTCAGGGCCTTAGGTTTAGATATTTCCCACATGAGGTAAGAACCTAATTCAAGATAGCAAGTTATACACAGCAGCTGATACCAAGTTACCACAGGGCCAAAAGACCACTAATTTTAAGGAACAAATCATGTTCCTTAAATGCTTGTCTGTCCAGAAATGGTTCTAAGATAAGTTAAAACATAAGCATCCATGCTAGTTATTAAGCTATTGTCTCTGAGCTCCCTATCTACTCTCTACACTTTGTGATACTTGGGCTGAGACTATGCAAAGTACATTTCTCCTCTGCCAGCTAGACTCTTGTTGGCTCTGCCAATAGGGACACTGGAGGAAGACCGGAAGGCAGAAGGAGGGGTAAAGTGACTTCATTCTTCCTGTGGGCTCGCTGTCCTGGCAGTGCTGCCCCAGCAATGGTCACCCGGCAGCAGCAACTGGTCAAGTTTCCAGCTTCATCATGCATCCTCAGAGGTACCAGCAGTAGCCAGGTCACATCCTCTCCTCAGTCCCAGCTCCATGAGGCCTCTGCTCTGAGTTCCTGTGGCAGCTGGGTGGGGCCATCTCCTCAAAGGTCTGAGACTTGCTGCATGGGGCCCATCCCTCTGAAGTTATAGATTTTGATAACCCAACCTCTTTCCTCTGTACTCCCAGCCCTAGGGGTGGAGCTGCTTCCTGTAGTTGTCATCTGTGTCACCTCAGTGCTCCCTTTCTGCTTTTCCAGTCCTCTAAAACCAGTTTAATCAATTTCCTACATTGAATTATCTGTTAAAATAATTAAGCGTGGTTTCTGTTTTTCTGACAGGACCCTGACTGATATACCACCTAATCTAACACAGGTGATACTGGAACACCAAGATAACCAAAGCCAAAAGGTATCTTATACCAAGACCAAACATATTCCATCTGGTCTAAGAGTTACAGCCCATGTGAAGAGACTCTGTAGAGACAATCTAAAGACCTACTACAAGTCCATCCAGACTGTTCGCATTTCAGAGCTTGGTTGGCACAACAGCTTGGTTCTTGACTAGAGACAGAGATACTGATCTGTCCTGCCAACCTGTAACAAATGACTTAACAACACTTAACCATCTAGCAAAGCCAGTTCTAGACTAGATTAGCAACTGAGTGTGGCACAGGAAAGAATGCTGGTAAGGCAAATTACTAATAAAATTGGCAACATCTAGTGGGGGAAAAAATTACAGAGTCAAAATCCCACTTAAGTAGACTTTACAGAAAGATAAGATCAAACACGTATGCCTGGCACTTATATGACATTTGCTCAGACAAAAATTCCTCAAGTTACAGAAGTTCATGTCATAAATTGCCATGGTGAACCAAAACATTCTCACTTTGCTAGGAAAGAAAGTCCTCTTTAGACCAGAAAAGGGGAAATGTTAGTTAAAAGAATTCTGTTATCTATAAATTGTCTTGCTGAGCTGAAAGGATATTTAGAGGTTTTGTAAAAATCTACCTCCCTAAAATTCTTACTGTCAGTTGGCAACTCTGGCTGCAAACAAAAAAAAACAAACATATCACTTAGAAAATTAAACCTAACCAGGAGCCAGACTGAATCCTACTTAGGTAACTGATCTCCCAAAGTGTGTGGTGGAGAATAGAGTGAAGGGATATGGGTGGTGAGGGGTAGGGGTGCATGAGTATGGCAAAAACTCTGATGCTCTACCCAATATCCATTCTCCCCATCTTCTAGTAAAAGAACACTGGGCATCAAGGTTAACTGAAAAATTGCATTTCCTAGCCTCCCTTGCAGATAGGAATAGTCAATGAGACGTTAAAAGAAGTCATGGGTGGTGCTTCTGGGGAAGTTTCTTTTGTCCAACCTTTCCCCTTCTCATTCCTGCTGCTTGAATCGTGAGTGTGATGCCTGGAGATACAGGAGTCATCTTTAACTGCAAGATGACCGTGGAGATGGAAGCCATGTCTAAGGCTGGTGGAACAAACAGGTAAAAAAGGATCCAAAATTTATTCCCATACCAAAAATGAGGAGAACCTGACCATTTCTCAAGGGAAAAGATAATCAACAGATGCCAATCTCAAAATAACACAGATGTTGGAATTATCAAAGATTTTAAAGCTGTTATTATTATAACCATCCTCCATGAGGTTCTTCAGATGGAAGGTAAATAATATGATAAAAAACCTTGGAACATCAAGAATGAACGAGGAGTAACAGAACTGGTAAATGTCTGGGTAAATATAATAGACTATTTCTCTCCTCTTAAAATTTTCAAAATGTAAATGACAGATGAAAGCAAAAACTAGAACACTGTCTGATGGGATTTTCAATGTATGCAGATGTAAAACATACGGCGACTTCAATATAAAGGAGGAGGATAGAGGGACCTATATAATGGTAAGCTTTCTAAGTTCCCCTAGAAGCAGCAAATGTTAATGTAAAAAGAATGTATAACAACAAACCCAGAGCACCCAATTAAAAAAAAAAAAACACCATATAAAGAGATACAGGCAGTCCCTGACTTACGACAGGGTTCCGTTCTAGCAACGCCGTCATAAGTCAGTTCTGATGTTAAGTCGAATCTTTTTTTTTCCTTAAGTTTTCACTATTATTGCCTTTTATTATCAGTTATCTTTATAAATCCGATCTTTATTTGTCTTTAGGGGTTGGAAACATTACATATAAACATACATATGTGCTGCAACATTGTATGTAGTACAGGTAGTCCCTGACTTATGACGGGGTTCCATTCTGACAGGAGTGCAGTTTGCCATAACTTGAATACGTCATAAGTCGAGGACTACCTGTAGAGTCAGTCACTCAACAGAGAAATTGAAAAGCAAAACTAAATGTGTGTGCAACTAACGTCTCAAAATACATGAAGCAAAAACTGACAGAACTGAAAGGGCTGAAATACACCAAGTCCACAACTAGGAGACTTCAACATCCCTCTCTCAGTAATTGACAGAACCAGTAGACAGAAACTCAACAAGGACAAAGAAGAGGTAAAACACTATCAGCCGATCTGACCTAACTGACATTTACAGAACACCCCCCCGCCCAACAACAGCAGAATACACATTCTTTTCAAGTGCACATGAACATGCATCAAAAAGACTGGGTCATAAAACAAATCTTAATAAATTTGGAAGAACTGAAATCATACAAACCATTTCAAAATTAAACTAGAGAACAGTAACAGAAAGACACATGGAAAAATTCTCAAATATCTGGAAATTAAACACAGAGGAAGTCTCGAGAGAAATTACAAAATATTTTCAACCAAATGAAAATGAAAATATAACATATTAAAATTTTATGGATAACGCTAAAGCAGTACTTAGAAGGAAATTTACAGCATTAAATGCTTATATATGCAATGGACATAAAGCTATACAGCTCACAAGTTCTGAGAGTTAAACAAAGTATACATGTTAAGGTAAGCATAGTAGCTGCTCAATAAATACATGATGAATGAATTCATGAAAGGACAAATTGTAACAAACGGATGAATAAATACTCAGGAAATAAACAGGCAAAAATTCCAAGTCAGATAACTACATAGGACTGAAGCATTGTCCTGAATAACTGATTCATCTCAATGAAATAACTAAAACCCCATTCACTTGCTCTTGGGGGCAGTCAACAGCATGCATTTCTCTTAGCAAAAGCTAGAAAGCTACTGGAGACCTGATGGAAACCTTGTTAACACCTTTTATTAACTGAACCAAAATGCTATGTGTCACAATGACACTTCCTCTTTATTAAACAGAATAACCCACTCCAAAAAGAGCAACTTTTTCTCACGCTCACCCATATCTGTTTACAGTCCAACCTAATGACACCCAGAATCCCTGTGCTGGCCCATGGCTAGTGTACTCACAACAAAGGGGTTCATAGGACATGACTCAATGTCTTCAGGTTGCTTAACACACTTCAGGTTTCCTCATCTTCCTGTAAAAATAAGTTTCTACACAGGTGGCTACCGTCACACTGACAAGCACAAAGGGGCGGGAGTGAGAGGAGAAAAGGGAAGAGAACTAATATTTATTTACTGAGCACCTACAGTCAACTGAGGCACTTTACACACATTTGTTCATTTAATCTTCTCAACCACTTGGAGGGAAGCACAACCATCCCCACAGTACAAATGAGGAAAACGCAACTGAAATTCAGGCCTTTCTATACCACCACTATGGATCTCAAAGTGGCAAATTATGACAATCAACCCCACCAGCAATTTTGCTTAGCTGTGTATGTTACAGAACATTATTCCATTAACACTGGGACTTGAGTTCTTCTAAAGTCTTCACCAGCTCTGATGTTCTATGATCAAGAAACTCTTGCTCGAGGGTTAGGAGCTGGTTGACTGGACATGGGAGATCAGGGGTGGAAAGGAGGAGTGTGCTGTCACAGTATAGGGAGAGCAATTAGGGTCACATGACAGTGTATATGTAAATTTTTGTATAAGAGACTAACTTGAAATGTAAACTTTCACTTAAACTACAACAAAAAACAACAACAAAAAAAAACCTCTTACTCATTCTCACTGAGCAAGGAACACTCACAGCTCTAATTCCCAAGCTCCTAGGATCAAAAATAAATCCATGTACATCTGTGCTTCTAAATTTGTGGCCTACAATGCCTGCCACTTTGTTGTGATGAATGATGCAAAACCTTTAACCACAAGGGACAGGAACTAAGTGCCGCCTCTGTGCCTTAGCCACACCTTCATTTCCCATTTAAGACACCAAGGGAACATTCTAGACTACTTCCTGCAAGATGAGTCACTTCTCAAGCCACAAATGTGATTCCAAAAGCACTCAATTTCTCTCCGATGTATTTTACCAGTTGAAAAACATTTGATTGTGTTTACATGCTCCTAGTTAAAATAAACGTGGTGATTACCAGTAGTCATTGCTCTTTGTCAGCTGCTCCTGGAAAACAGCATATCTCTGATACTCTGGGGACTCTCATGCTCCAGAGGGGTGGTGACCGCCAAACTTCTAAAACTTTCATTTAAAAGCTTCTGAGCACACACTTGTATATATGTATAATGTAAAGGATGACACAAAAACATGTAAGTTGAAGTTGCTGTAGTTTCTTTGTGCACTTCAATGGACTATCTTACACATCCTTCTCTGCAGTCTACTGCCCTCGACCACTCGGGGGTGTCTGCTAGGACAAGCTGTTCCCTAGATGGTGATTACCACTTAATGGCATTAACCACAGACCAGCTTTGAGGTTTTTTTTGTTTGTTGTTTGTTTGCTTTTTAAAGACAAACATATTATAACCTTATGTATTTTTTAAAAATTCATGAAGAATTAGAAAGCCTCATTTAGGATGATAACCAAATTATCAATGAGAAAAATTCGTAGTGTTTAAAGCAGTCAGTCAGAAGTACTGACAACTGTGATATTAGATGACAGATGCCTGGGCAGGGCAGATCAACATCTGAAGATAGGTTAAAAGCCTTTAGGCTGGCCGGGGGCCTTGTCACTGAACTCCATGGTTACCACCACAGTGAGATGGCAGTAACATCTCCTATTACTTATTATTACTGTTGTTGTCATCACTAGGACCACTTATTGCCAGGTATTTTATATACATGATTTCCTTGAGTCCTAGCCACCCTGCAAGAGAGGTACAATTACGTTCACTTCGCAAGAGGAAATAGGATCAGCACACAACTTGACCAAAAGTAACACTGCTACCATGAAGCAGAAAAGGAACTCAAAATCTCTATACCACTGCTCCTTCTCATGGGTAAAATAATCTGCACAAGTGTATACTTACTACTAATAATCTGCTAGTTTATATTTTCTCAATGGAACCATACTCTTCATACCTCCATCTGTACTGTGCCTTAAAAAGCATTTTCACGTCCATCATTTCCTCAGGTTTTTTTCTCCCAACAACCCTTAGAGATGGGAAGGAATTACCTACCACTAAATATAGCAAAATCAGGCACAGCCTCTGGAACCAAAGACATGCTTGCTGGCACACAAGCAGAATTTGGCGAAACCTTCTCTTGGAAGAATCTCATTCAAAAACACAATTACTTAGACTTCATCAAAAACAGGATCTACTGTTGTGTAATAAGGTTTCCGACACATGAATGTACTACCCACAACCACACTTGACCTGACAGCATAGCAACTTGGAAGCTATTTTGCAATCACAAAAATAATGTTCAAACATTGTAAAAGCACAAATGTTTGTAAACTTGGAATGCAAATATTCTGTTTAGATTGTAACAACTCAGAAAGCCTTAGCAGTGGAAAAGACTTTCGAGGTCTAGTCCCACCGCTCTTCCCAGGCAGGGATTTTCCTCTATCTGGCAGACTTCTGGAGAAGGCTGTTCACTAACTCCACTACCAAACACTGGTACCATTTACTGAGCACTGACAATGTGCCAAGCATTCTAGATACATTAGCTCATTATTTCATATAATTGTCTCAACAACTACAAATGAGTTCTACAAAGACTGTCTTAACAACTACAAATGAAGAAACAGAAGCTTTCAGAGGCTAAGTCACTTACCTAAGGACACCCAATTAGGAACTACAAAATCAGGATCCAAACCTAGGTCTGTCTGATTACCAGTCCTGACTTCCACATTCTAGAACTTACCGTATCCACTAGACACGTTTCACACCTAGGACTAGATCACCTAACTTATAACCACATACCGTAACTGTACATATGCACTAAAAATATAAGAATCAGGTTAAGTTTAATAGGAAACTACTCTGATCCTACCACATAAAATGCAGTTTTTTGTCTCTTTCATGACTGCCTGGTCAGTATGTGACTGGAATACAGCCTTAAGTACATAATGGGTCTATCTCCTAAGAGCAGCCGTTTTACTTTTCCTACATATGGATCCTACCCTTATCTTACTAGCATGCTGAATCTACAGCTTCCCCTCCTCTTCTCCCCATCTAGAAAGGGGCTTTGGTCAAATACAGGACTGACTCAGGAAAGATGAAACCCAAAGTGGCACTACAATTACACTGTTGAGAAAACATACTTTCTGCCTGCAGGCTAAAAAATGGACTTACAAAAAATATTCCGGAAAAGAAAAAAAACATTTCCTCATTTACTGTTTTAAGAATTACAATAAAAAGTACAAAAGGAATTACTTCTGCACTGTGGGATTATAACTCATTTTCTTTGTTTTTTAAATCTTTTTCTAGTTTTTAAAATAAAAACATACTACTTTTTTTCACAAAAAAGTATTTATTAATTTAGGAAGTTTTCAAACACATACAAAAGGAGTAATATAATAAACCTCAAGTTCCTATCAACCAATTTTGACATAAATTATGAACACATGGCCAACCTTGTTTCTTCTACACCCCAACTCACTTTCCCTTCTGCCCACAGTTGATTACTTTAAAGCAAATCCCAGATGTAGTATCATTTCATCCAATAAAAACTTCAGTTTGTACCTCTGAAAATAAGGGCTATTTTAAAAAACAAAACAAAACATACCACAGAAGCGTTATCACATCTAAACAATTAACAATACATATTACATTTTTAATCAGAAAAAAATGTTTTAAGAAAATAATATATTTGAGAGGGAAAAAAAGAAGAAAATGCTCAGTGGCATTCCTGCCTAAACAGCTTACATGACTCCATTTCACTTAAGAGGTCCGGCTGCATGTTTGCCCCCTCAGGACATGAGAAAAATGGGCAGAAATGTCTATTTCTAGTTATCAATGTTTCTAGGATTTACCTGTTGAGAACTGCTTCCTTGTCTCCCAGACGACTTTTAATTTTACTTGTCAGATAGTCCAAAAAGAGCGTCCAGATATCCAAACAAGAGAAGTAACCTTCGTGAGTAGGCTATGGTGCAAAAGAAATCCAAACAATGAAATTACTTACTGCAACTATTTCTTAGAAACACATACACCAGTGTTTACTTCCAGAATCGTAAAACCATAGCCTAGATTCCCTCAGTTTCCTGGTATCTCCAACTGGTGGCTTTTAGTCTTCACCACTGGACCCTGCTGAACCTAACAAGACAAGGGTACCAGGGAATACATCATTAGGGAGATATGCAGGACAAACTGAGTTACAAAATAAGTCAAGCAAAAACCTATCTTAAAACCGAGACTGGTGGAGACGGCTCTTACAGCTCATCCAATTCAGATCTATTTTAGAGAGAAAGAAACTGAGATCCAGAGATGTGATTTGTTCAAGGTCAGGGGTAGGAGCAGGCCCCTTTACCTCCAATGTTCTTTCCACTATATACCATTTCTATTTGCACATCCAAAACCAAAAATAAGTTTCACTGACTCCAAAGGTGACGGGGCTACACATTTGAACATAAGGAAAGTAACATCTGCAGTTGTTCCTATATAACAGATTGAAAATGAGCTTGTTAAATCTGACCTTCAGGGCATTATCCCATCTGCAAAAGTAGGGGTGTCAAACAGGCTAATAGCAACCTCTAACCAGGTGTTGATAAGGACAAATAAAGAGAGAAGAGCAAGTCTTTGCAGGGTCCTAGTGCCTGAGCCACTGTACTCCTTAACGTTCTCAAGAGCCCTGACAGTCTATTTCATGCAAAATCCACAAGCTATACTCTCCAACATCTAGTCCTCCCATATACATTCAGTTTCAACTTGTGGCCCTCAATCTCTTACACTTACACTCAAATTGTCACTACCTACAAGAACCCTTTGGTTTTGCTAGTGACTGCTTCACTGAATCACATATTTGGTGGCAGAATCAGATACAGAAAGAAAAAATACCATCACCTTCTTAGATCAGTTTCTTTCCATTTCTGATTCAGAAGGAAATGGAGAAGCTTACGGGGGAACATGAGGAATCTGCCCAAGGAATAACTAACGATGGGTGGTAGCATGCAGTAGGAGTTCTCAACCTAAGCTGATGCCTGAGACAAAAAAAATTTAACTTAAAAAAACAGGGCAGCCTCCAACCTCACAACCCAAAAAGTAGCCTGGAACTTCTACAGCTCAGTCAAGGCCACTGATAGGAACATCCTCAGAAAACAAAACAACCACTCTCATCTCCACTTCACACTTCACAAAACCCAGGCTGATGCCCATTATGACATGAAACTGGCCAAGAGAATAACCAGAAAAAAACAATAAGCCATGTGGGAACAATATAGGTAGCTGATATACAGGCCACTAGACATCCAGGAAATTCAGTCTTGTCCTGTTTTCAACTTGCTGAGCTTGCCTTATGTAAGTCACCTAGTTGTCCTTTCTTGGTTTGAAATACCCATCAGCTCCCTCAAAAGAACACAACTGATCAGAGTACACATGGAAGTGCTTTTGAGAAAAGTCATCACATAAGCACACGTTTTATGGATACATCATAATACTTTACAATTCTATACATCCATTGATGATGACGTATAAGATTTACTGTGTGGCTCAAGGCTAGGGAAAAAAAAGGTAGGCAGATACACATCTGTAAGACCTGAAACACCATCATTCACATCCGTATCTGGAAGCCCCACTGTGAGGCCTTGTGAGCTGCACAGCCTGCCCACTGCAGGGTCCTCTGACATATTGTTAAGGTCATAAAGATTATAGATTGACTCTACTTTTAGAGTCACCCAACTTCTTAGAACCCTCACAGATCCTTTTTAAAATGTACCTATACTCAGGTTTCAGGGCTGATTAATCGCTGAAAATTTTGACAGATTTCTTTAAGAAGGTAATGATAATAATCTTACCTTCGAAGTGCTTTACAGTGTTTACTTTTCATTTGCATAAGTCTATTTGATCTTCACAATAGTCCTGGAAAGTGACAGATTTTTCTTCTTCCCATTTTACAGATAAAGAAACCAAAGCTCTAAAGTAAAGTCACCAGTCTAAGGTGGCAAGACAATTAAGAAACAGAATGAGAACTAGAATATGGGTCTTAAGGTTTCCCAGTCCAGAGTCCCTTCCCCTATGCTGTCTCCAACACTGTTTTAGGAAGAAGGGACAAAATGAAAAAATGCAAGACCAAGAAGGAACTGAGGATACAGTAAGACTAGGAGCAGGAAGACAGAGAAATCATGTTGATACAGGGACCTCAAAAGGCTCAGCAAGCAAGGAAAGTAATGGTGAAGGCAAAAACCTGGTGAGTACTAGTAGAAGGAGGGGCTGCCGGCAGGCCACTTAGATTAAAGAAGGAAAAGAAAAGGAGAAATGGTTAAAGAAAGGTACTAGCATCATCCTTTGTCTCATTACTGTTCTTTCAAAATATGTTCACCAGTATTAAAATCTCAATGAAGTTTAGAAATAAAAGGCAAAAAATACTGACACACTCATAGCAACCCTCTAGGCAAGAAAGAGGGAAGTCACGTTTTCTTGCTTTACAGGTGATAAAGGAAGGATAAAGTAATATCACACTGCTAGTGAGGAGATTGGGACTTAGAGCTCTCTCTTGAGAATTCTTTAAAATTCTTAACTCTCATCCCAAACAGCTCCCCTACTATTAGTCCTTGATCCTAGAGTGAACCCTGCCATCTCTTCTCCACTCTGCCTTTCCAGCAAAAGGGCTGTCTACCCAGCAATACTGGGACAGAGCACATCCCAGGTTCTTGCCCCGCTTCCCGATGCTAGAATCTGATTCTGGTTGGACCTCAAGGACACCTACTCACACAGTCCACAAGCTTGCTCCTTAGAAAGGAAGGTCCTCATACAGGAGGCCAAGAGAGGAGAAGGGAGCTCAGCTGAGAGAGAACTCCAGGTAGAGGAAGGAAGAAAGAAGCTTGTTGTTTGCTTCAGGACCACATGTCTGTTTCTTTTCCCAAATATAAAATGTTTCGATTCAACAGAAAACTAACAGGTGTCAGATTCTAGTGAAAGAATCCTAAAACATAAGCACTAGGAAAGACGCTGAAGATGCCCTCCGCAGTCTATCTTATTTGGTGAGGAGATGGAAATCTAAAGAAACTAAAAAGACTTGTCCAAAGACAAGAGCTCAAACACAAAACTTTTGGGTCCAAGTCCAAAGAAGAAGGCATAAAACGTGTACTTTAAAACACTTTCTAAGCTTCTATACTATATACGCTAAAAGATACCACTTTACATAGGGAACAAAATTTCAAGGCATCTTCATTCCATTTTCCCAAACAAACCCCTTCTTTCTGACCTCAGCAATGGCTCACTCACCTTTCTTTTATTTCTGCTATACTTACCCTATTTAATACTCAGTGTTCTCCCAAATCTGCTGTTTTTTCCTGGTCTCCTTTAATATTTCTCTGGATCTATCTCAAACTCCCACCTCTGATGTTCCTCTTCTATACCCTCATCCTCCCACAACCTCTTCATCACCTCCTCTATTTCTCCTTTGGCCTGGTAAGCTCAGCTTGTGTTCCTTCTTGCTTTGTACTCACGGGCCCCTCTATCAGACATCCTCACACTTCTTTAACCTGTGGTCCTCCTCTTCTACCTGCATCCCACCACTTCTCCCAGGAATGTTGCACTGTTACCACTGGGTACTCCTTATTTTCATTTATGTGCCAAGTACCTCTTTGAAGAAGGCTAGCTTGCACACTCAACCCTTGCTCCAAATCCCCTAATCCTATACATGCACCCCTCCCTGCCTAGAACCTTGAATCTTCTCTAGCCTCAATAAGCTACAACAGTAGTGATTTAAAAAAAAAAAAAAAACAGTCTGCTTTTAAAATCAGATGCACTTACTGACCCAGCAGTTTCATTCCTCGTATATACTAACAGAAAGAGCTACATATGTACACCAAAAGCATGTACAAGAACGTTCGCTGCAACATGATTCATGATCACCAAAAATGGGAAACCCAAATTAGCAGTGAAATGGATAAATAAAATGTGATATTTTTTCAGATAAGAACTTAAAATAAAGCAGTGAAAATGAACAAATTATTGCCACATACAACACAGACAAATCTCACAAACATAATGTTGAATGAAAAGGCCAGATAAAATGAATAAATATATGCTCCCATTTACAGAAGTTCTAAAACAGAAAAACCTAATCTATGGTATTAGAAGTCAGGATTGGGGTTACTTCTGGGGATAAGGAAGGAGGAAGTGACTGGGAAGGGATATGAGATTTCTGGAGTGCTGGTAATGTTCTACCTCTTGACTTAGGTGATGGTCACATGAGTGCCCATTTTGGAAAAAATTTATCAAGCTGTATACTTATGATTTATGCACTTTTGTGTATATGTGGTATACTTCAATAAAAAGTTTATTTAAAAACATGCACACAAATGGTAAAAACATGCACACAAATGGGTATCAGGGAACTTCAGCGGGTGATAGAAATGTTTTAAAACTGGACTGTGGTGATAGTTGCACAACTTTATATAAATTTACTAACCATGACAAAACTGTACACTTACAATGGATGAGTATCATGGTATGTAAATTATACCCCAATAAAGCTGTTTAAAAAAAAAATACACACAGACACACAGACACACACACACACACACACAGACACACACAGACACACACAGACACACACACACACACACGAGTCCCTGGGTGGTACAAATGGTTAAGCATTCAACTGCTAGCTGAAAGATTGATGGTTCAAACCCATCCAGCGGCACTTCGAAGACAGGCCTGGTGATCTGCTTCCAAAAGATCACAGCCTTGAAAATCCCACAGAGCAGTTCTACTCTGCACACACAGGCTCGCCATGAGCCAGAGTTGACGCAAAGGCAACGAACAACAACATACGGATAAACCAAAGATTGGGTCACTCAAATTTTAAACTTCATGAAGGTAAGAACTTTGCTTGTGAGGGTTATGTGCCTAGCTCCTGAAATACAACAGGGGCTCACAAAGTATTTATTGAATGGAGAGGGATTAGACACCACCAAAATGAACTCTTGAAAGCTTCACTATATATAATCTTCTTATGGGAAGTCTTAGTGACAGTTACAGAATAGAACTAAAGGTCCTAATATCACTTTTTCTATATTTTTTCTTTCTCTAACATATTAGTGGTTAAGAGCACAGACACTAGGGGTTCAAATTCTGGTTCCACCACTTACTAACTGTATGGCTGAGCAAGTTACTCTTTGTGTCTCAGTTTCTTTACCTGTAAAATGGAGATGATGATAGTAATAGCACCTACCTCATAGGGTTGTTATGAAGATTAAATGTGTTAATCTTCACATACAAGGCAGTGTATAAATGTTTGGGGGAAAAAAATAAAGAAGTTCTTTCCCCAAAAAATAACTAGGTAGACTTTTTTTTTTTGAGGGGAAGGGCTGGTGCTTTACCTGATGAAATGTGTACTTGAACAAAAGTGTCAAAAACTCCACCACAGGGAACTGAGAGTAGGACTCGATTCTTCTTAGGTGAACACTCACAAAGAGCCGGAGAAAGTCAGTAAACTTCTCGATGTAGCTAAATGAGATAAGACGACAAAAAGTGACAATAAGAAGCCTAGCCACCTCCTCAGAAGAGAACTTAAATTCAATTGAAATTTCTTTCAATACAGAACTACAAAGATACATATTTTCAGATAAAAATATAAAGGCCTACAACAATTACCTACAGGAGAGGCAACCCTTCATTCCATTACCACCTGAAACATAGCAGAAAAGCAACTTTAATCCTCAGACACTATCTACTAAGGCTTCTTATAAGCTAGTGCTCTCATTTTCTAACTCATTAGTGCTATGACCCAATGAAAGTAAAAGAAGTGGTGCTAAAAGGCTGATGGGCAGATCAAGTGTGTCACTTCAACCTGGAAGTCTGGAAGGCTGGTTTCTTTGCTAGGAGGCCAAAATATTAAAACAATGTGCCAAAAACAAAACAAGACTACACAAAGGGCATGGCATCTAGGTAAGAAATAGTCAGGCTTGCAACCTAATCCTTATTTTTGTCTTCCCTCTACCTCCTGGCGTTAATTAAACATAGTACATCCCAATCCTCTCTAAAAATGATTTCAAATATAAGAGGGGAAGGCTGTTGGACCCGGACAGCCCTCAGAGACAATTTAGTCTGATGCTTCCATTTTACAGACGTGGCCAGGTCCCAGAGGGATAAAATGACCAGCTCAAGATCACTCAGCCAGCTCATGGCAGAATGGAACTATCATCCATTCCCAAACTTTCTTTTCACATTACAATGAATTCCCAATTCATCTGTATTCAACAAAATCATTTCACAGAAGAGTGTGGGTCACAGCTGCAAGGATAAGAGATTTTTGTTATTTAAATACACAGCACATCATCACTCTCACATTTCAGAAACTGTCATTTTAAGCCCCTATATACCAAAAGGTGATTCGAAAATGAGATGGCTATACCTTCATAAATCACATTTCAGAGACCAATAAAAAAAGATAAAGACTTACTAGGACTTGGCCAAAATTAAATAATGGCTAAAAGTAATTCTGAGACTCCTAGCTGCAAAAATCTACTTATTAAAGCAGAGATATGTGAAATAAAGCAGGAGAAGAAGACTACTCCTCAGAAGAGTAAAATTGGCCCAGAATTAAAATTTCTCCTATTGTTCCCGGGACCTACCTCCCTGAGGGTGGCCAACTGCCTCTCTGATTTCTAAATGGCTGACTTACGCACAAAGAAATGAGCTTATCTGCAACTTTTTTTTATTTTTAAACGTTAATTTAATAAGGAGGATAGCTGTCTCTGTGGATCATGGGGCCAAATACTTGAAAAACATTAACAACGCAATAAAATGAGTTGTTTTTAGAGGCAGGAAAGCATAAAGAGACTTCTCTGATGTCCTGAATCACTAATACTCAAGAATAGGAATTTCTCACTCAGCTTATTATTAGACTATGTTTTTATACAGATTCGAATTTGTGAACCAGCTTAATGTTCTTTAGGAAGATGCGCTCAATCCCCTACCACCCATAAAAGAACAAAGAGAAGTCATAGGTAACAGAGCTAGCAATTTCTATTTGATTTTACTCTCCAACCCAATTCAAAAATAAAGACCAGGTGTTTCAGTAGCTAAAACTACCAATTTTATTTCACCTCATTTTCTTGCCCTTGCCCACCTTCTGGTACAGGTGCTAATGAACAGTAGAAAGTTAGGAAAAAAGCAGTAAAGGAGAAGAGAAGCAAAGGACCTGGTTAAGCAGCTCCTAAACAACTGAGAATGGACTTAGCTGTTTAGAATTAGTGGTAAGGGACCCAAGAGTCAGGAAGCAAGCACACAGTATTGTTTATGTCACCTTTCTGCTTCCAGGCACCTCTCAGCTTTCACAGGGCAATAGGAAGCATAGGATTAAAATATAAAACCAAGAGTACAAAAGTTACATGTAGCAAAATCAATACACAAATAATCCATGATGACATTTCTGTATCACCCAAATGTAAGCCATAACAAAACGTCTGTGACTCAGTACGCTACAAGCAAAAGTCAAAACAACTGACGTTTGATCACTAGTATCATCAGTTCGAATTTTTTTAACATATGAAGATAAAACCGTTTTTCTTAACCAAAGCTAGAAAGTGTAAAGTTGTGCACGTCGAATATTTAATACTCTTGAATTCACACAGAACGCTATCACTGAGTAATGAAAAGAAAAACATTATCATTTCAGATTAAGAGTTCTTTTGTGATTATACAAAAAAAATTTCACACAAAACTTGTTTGTAATGAACCAAGCCAAATAATCTGATGTACCAATTTTTTTAACTTTAGAAAAACCTAATACAATTGCTAAATTCAAAAAGGACTGAAACTGTCTTAACATTAGGCACCTGACTTTATATTCTGCTACTGAATCTAAGGACAAGGAGATAGTTTAACTCTGTACAGTTTAATAACAAACAACAATCCAAGGAGAATTGATTAAAATATTAACAACTTTTGCTACTAGGCAATGTATAAATATCCACTAATTTATTTATTCACATGAAAGTTTCTGAACATAGTCAGCGTGTATGTTCTTAACACTAAGCACCCAACGCTCCCTCTTGTTTTTATGCAGGAGTGTTATCATGTTCATGAAAGTTGTAAGATACATATATGACATCATCTGCAAGGGAAATAAATGAGACTCTGCCTCAGAGTACCATGATGTATTCATCGTTTAAAGTGTTTTAAGAAAAACAGGCTAGGTAATTTTAGGCTCCATTCAAGAGGACAATAACAAAGAAACAGAGGTGTGCACCACATTAACATGTGCCCACCTTACCATCTCTCCTATCTTTCGATGAAAACTTGCCATCTGTATAAAATTCACTATAACTACAACACTCCTACAGCCTGAAAGATGTTCACTTGGGAAAAGTCAAACAGTAAAAACTGACAAGCGACACACCAAGTGAGGAAGGCAGATTATAACTCCTGTACCTCCATGGACCTCTTCTCCTGTTCTTGGCTATGCATGAGCAGCAGTCTCAGTTCCTGCACACCTCAGACCTGCAGGCATACAGTGAGGAAGTGGAGACAGGGGTGGGAGGGAGGACAGAAAATGGATGGGGGGAGAAAGACAACAAACCTACACAATTGACAATCACTTTTCACACTCAACTCATTTCCCTTAACCCCCCTAGCCCTTCCAGCTACTCTTAAACTTACTGGCACACACCTACCTTTCCATTCCTCACCAGGAGCCCCAAATTCTGAAATCAAAGAGGATTACCGACACTATGCAGCACAACGTGATAAAAAGTCACGGCCCGTTCTCAGGGCACGACCGACTCCACACCTGTTTTCATTACCTCTCATCAAGTTCTTCTAGTCTGCTCTTCACCGTGTGGGCATTGTTATCCTTGGTGATTTTCTGCAGGAGGTAGAAAGTCTGCTGGAACATACGCAGTAGATACTCCTCAAATTCCACAGGCACACAGTTCTTGGACATGAGTTCATTGATGCAGGACATGGCCAGGACCCCAAGCCGGCCACGCTCCTGACCCAAGACACAGTTCTGGCTGCTGCCGTTAACTGATGCCATCTTTCTGGCCCGGATGTCACAGCCAAAGCGGGCAAAGTGGAAGATGGTGGTAAGGAGGGATGGGGTGATGCTGGCAGACAGAGGAATCCAACTGAAGAGATGAGCCAGGCACTCCAAGGCCAGAGAACAGATATACTCACTCTCCACGTCAAGGATGGGGATTGGCTGATTCAACTGTTTGGCTGAATTAGGGCTCTGCAACAGGTTACTCAGTAAGTCACCTGAAAATAAAAAAGGCTTCTAAGATATCCACTGTCATATCTCTTACAAACTATTTTAAGCAACTCACCTTCTCAAAAAAACAAAAACAATTTACGTATTATATCAACAAATAAAATCAGTAAGCTCAATGTTGTTGTTGTTAGCCGCCATCGAGTCGATTTGGACTCACAGTGACCCATGTGACAGAGAAGAAGTGCCTCATGGGGTTTCTAGGCTGTAATCTTTACGGGAGCAGATCACCAGGTCTTTTCACTTGCAGAGCCGCTGGGTGGGTTCAAACCGCCAACCTTTCGGTTAGCAGCCAAGTGCTCAATGTTAAACACCAACTATAAAAAGTTAACAGTATAGCAAAATTAAGGTAATTATGATTCATTTTGTGAAATAAAAAATCTGGATAAACTTCAGTATTTTAAATTCAGTGAGATTTGTAAAACAGCAGTATCTCAGTAGACAGAAGTAGGGAGAATAAAGATGGGACTATTCTCTGGCTGTAAAACCCCATGTCTATCCAAGTTTTTCTTCTTTCTACTGCCCCCCAAAAATCATGACCTTGTTTTTGAAAAAAATGATACATAACTATTATTTGAATAAGTAAATAACTGGATCCCTAACACCATTTACCAACTTAGACTCCAGATGAATGAACAAGCTAAACCAAAAGACAAAACATTAAAATAGAAGAAAATATAGGAGCATCAGAAATACAGGTGAGAGAAAGACTTCTTAAAACTACCAAGACACAAACATCAACAAAAAATACTTAAATTTAATAACATCAAAATGAAGAGTTTCTATTCAATGAAGCACATTAAAGAAAATTATCAAGCATATAACAAACTGTGAGACGATAGTAAAAATGTCTAACATCAAGGACTAAAATCTAAAATATACAAGAAAAACCCTACACATCAACAAATATAACCCCAATCTAAAGATAGGCAGCAGATATGAAGAGACAATTGTCAGAAGAAACTCAAAAGGGCAATCAGCATACAGAGGAGATCTCAAAATCATTAGTAATCAGAAAAAGGCAAATTAAAAGGAGACAGAAAAATAAGAAGGTTGGATAACGCCAAGTGCTGAGGCAGAGGGATGAATATAGGAACTTTCTTGCAGCAGTGGAGAGAAGCACAGCTATTCTGAAAAAGAAAATGGCACTCTGGAGTGCTCATAAATATCCTATCATCTCTTATACACAGAAAACCCCAAAGAATCCTCAAGAAAACTACTGGAACTAATAGAAGACTTCAACAAAGTTTCAGGATACAAGGTAAACATACAAAAGTCAGTTGGATTCCTTTACATCAACAAAGAGAACCTCGAAGAGGAAATCATCAAATCAATACCATTTACAATAGCCCCCAAGATGATAAAATACTTAGAAATAAATCTAACCAGAGATGTAAAAGATCTATACAAGGAAAACTACAAGAAACCTGCATAGGTGGAAAAACATACCTTGCTCATGGATAGACAGACTCAACATTGTGAAAATGTGTATTCTACCCAAAGCGATCTACAGATACAATGTAATCCCGATCCAAATTCCACGAGCATTTTTTAATGAGATGGAGAAACAAATCACCAACTTCATATGGAAAGGGAAGAGGCCTCGAATAAGTAAAGCATTACTCAAGAGGAAGAACAAAGTGGGAGGCCTCACACTACCTGATTTTAGAACCTATTATACCGCCACGGTAGTCATTTAACAGCCTGGTACTGCTACAACAACAGATACATAGACCAATGGAACAGAACTGAGAATCCAGACATAAATTCATCTACCTATGAGCAGCTGATATTTGACAAAGGCCCAAAGTCCATTTATTGAGGAAAAGACAGTCTCTTTAACAAATGGTGCTGGCATAACTGGATCTCTGCAAAAAACTGAAACAAGACCCATACTTCACACCATGCACAAAACTAACTCAAAATGGATCAAAGACTTAAATATAAAATCGAAAACGATAAAGATCGTGGAGGAAAAAATAGGGACAACACTAGGAGCCCTAATACATGCCATAAACACAATATGAACCATAAGTAACAATGCACAAGCACCAGAAGAAAGACCAGATAAATGGGAGCTCCTAAAAATCAAACACTTATGCTCATCAAAAGAGTCAAAAGACAACCTACAGACTGGGAAAAAATTTTTGGCTATGACAAATCCAATCAGCGTCTAATCTCTGAAATCTACAAGGTACTGCAAAACCTCAACCACAAAAAGACAAATAACGTAATTAAAAAATGGGCAAAGGATACGAATAGGCACTTCACCAAAGAAAACATTCAGGCAGCTAACAGACACATGAAGAAATGCTCACGATCATTAGCCATTAGAGAAATGCAGATCAAAACTACAATGAGACAACAAGGCTAGCATTAATCCAAAAAGTACAAACAATAAATGCTGGAGAGGTCGTGGAGAGACTGGAACACTTACAGACTGTTGGTGGGAATGTAAAATGGTACAACCACTTTGGAAATCGATTTGGCGCTTCCTTAAAAAGCTAGAAATAGAAGTACCATACGATCTAGCTATCCTGCTCCTTGGAATATAACCTAGAGAAATATGAGCCGTCACACGAATAGATATATGCACACCCATGTTCACTGCAGCACTGTTCACAATAGCAAAAAGATGGAAACAACCTAGGTGCCGATAAGTGGGTGAATGGGTAAACAAATTATGATATATCCACATGATGGAACACTACGCAACAATAAAGAACAACGATGAAGCCGTGAAACATAACATGGAGGAATATGGAGGTCATTATGCTGAAAGCATTTAGTCAGTCACAGAAGGACAAATACTGTATAAGACCACTATTATACAAACTCAAGAAAAGGTTTAAACACAGAAGAAAACGTTCTTTGATGGTTATGGGGGTGGGGAGGGAGGGTGAGGGTTATTTACTAACAAGATAGTAGATAAGAATTATCATAGGTGAAAGGAACGACAGCACACACTACAGGGGAAGTCAGCACAACTAGACTAAACCAAAGCTAAAAGTTTCCTGAAAACAATCAAACACTTTGAGGGACACAGTAGCAGGGGTAGGGGTCTGGGGACCATGCTTTCAGGGGACATCGAGGTCAACTGGCATAACAAAGCTTATTAAGAAAATGTTCCGCATCCTACATTGGTGAGTGGTGTCTGGGGTCTTAAAAGCTTGCAAGCAGCCATCTAAGATGCATCAATTGATCCCAACCACCAGAAGTAAAGGAGAATGAAGAACACGAAAGACACAAGGAAAGCAGTAGCCCAAGAGACAGAAAGGGCCACATAAACCAGATACTTTATCAGCCTGAGACCAGAAGAACTAGATGGTGCCCAGCTACCACCAATGACCACCCTGACAGGGAACACAACAGAGAGTCCCGGATGGAGCAGGAGAAAGGTGGGGTGCAGAACTCAAATTCTAGTGAGAAGACCAGACTTAATGGTCTGACTGAGACTTGAGGTATCCTGGAAAGCATGGCCCCTGGATTCTCTATCAGCCCAGAACTAAAACAATTTTCGAGGCCAACTCTTCAGACAGGGACTGAACTGGACTGTGGGACATAAAGTGATACTTGCGAGGAGTATGCCCCTTAGCTCAAGTAGATACCAGAGACTATATGGGCGGCTTCTGTCTTGGAGGTGAGATGGGAAGGCAGAGAGGGTTTAGGAGCTGGTTGAACGGACATGGGGAATTGGGTGGAAAGGAGGAGCGTGCTGTCACAGTATGGGGAGAGCAATCAGAGTCACATAACAATGTATGTATAAATTTTTGTATGGGAAAAAATTTTTTAAAAATATCCTATCATCTGAAAATTCCCCTCCTGGGTATGCCTCCCAAAGCAACCCTTACACAGCACCATGAGGGGTCAGTATGAAGATGAAATCACAGCAGTATTTGTGCTGGTGGGGAGTTGGAGGCAATCTGGGTTCCTCACTAGAACGAAATGAGTTCCTTTATGAGGCCTTTTGCCTTGGTTCTTTAGAAAAATGTCTTGGGCGATTTCTCCCCTAAGCCCTAAGGCATTAACTTTGCCTTAGCTCTTTGGAGAAGCAATTCGAGGGTGGGAGTGTTCTCAGGATGTTTTCTATTCCAGAGGGTCTGTGTTACTTTTGTCCAGGTTGACCGACATTTCCTGGGTAAGCTATAAACAAACTTGATGGTTTGATACGTTTTGTCTAGCCCTGGGCTACAGTCTACCCTGTGATTGGTCAATTTTATGCACCTGGAAGAGACTGGTCAGTTTACTAAGCAAATTGAGTGACTTGTAGTCCACCAAGGGGATTGGTCAGTTCATGGTCCTGCTGGGAGGGCTATGCCTTGAAACTGACAAGTAGTTTGTTTATATAAGCAGAAAATTCCACAGAGGTTTTCTGAGAGACAAGAAGAGAGAGGAAGCAAGCAGTCTCCTAAAAAAGCTGTAATACGGGTCGAGGGCTATAACAATGAACACAGCGAGAGACCTGAAAGAGGCCCTATCGCAGAGCAGACAGCAATAGACCTGGAAGGGGCTCTGCAGCAGAGTCAGCAGTAACAGCAGAAAGCTGCTGCTGAGAAAGCAGCTAAGAGCTGAGCAAGCTGCTATACTAGCTATGAGCTGGGCCGGTTAGCAGTGGAGAGGCCAACAGCAGGTAGGCCAAAAGCAGAGGCCTACACAGCTGAGAGGGTGCCTGCACAATTAAGAAGAAGCCTTGCACAGCTGAGAGGGGTGCCTGGCCTGGCTGTTCGCATTGCTGAAAGGAGTTGAGAGCGCTGCCCTGCGCTGAAGAAGTGAGGGATGTGCTCTCCACTTCAGAAGAGTCTTCCAAACCTTGCCTGCTTGCTTCCCGATCCTGAGTTGTTCCTGTTACTTCCCTAATAAACCACATAATTGTGAGTATGATCTGTGAGTTCTGTGTGTCCACTGCAATGAATTATCGAACCCAGAAGAGAAGTACAGAGGGCCAAGGGGGGAATGGCCGGTGTCAGAAATGGTGAACAAGTTAGAGAGT